ACATTACGGCTGATAGCATGTTGGGTGTAGGAAATCGGGCCGCATGTACGCCTCGAGGACTGTCTGGGAGGTGTTTCTCCGATTGTAGCCTGCGGCTCTCAGCAGGACGTGGACTTATAATGTAGTACATAGAATATGACATCACAGATACTATAGCATAGATTTCAGCATATTGTAGCAAAAATCGTGTGATATAGTCAATATAGTATAACATGTTATAATTGGTATTCTGACCTCCCAACTTCCTCGCACCTAAAAGCCGATGCAAGCCTCGCAACCAACCGCAGGCTCGGATTCTCGAAAGACGGGCCGATAGTGCCATGCCAAAGCCTTCAGCCTCTACGCTCCTACACCTTAACCTCTAATAATTACCAATACTCTTTTGGCGGTTCCTTCTTGTAATAATAGTGGCATGGGCCCCAAAACCCTATTCTACTTATTGAGGCTCCGAGCCCCCTTTAGGGACGGCTTGTGCCAGCCATGTGTCAGTCCTGCAGCTTCATATTCGAGGCCGCCTTTCTGTGCTTTTCTTGATGGGAAGGTCCGCAGCTTGCGGGCTTGCGGCTTCGGGTTTGGGAGTTTAGGACTTAGAGGGTTCAGGGTTTAGTGGGCTCCATATACGTGGGTTTGGTCTGAGGGCTCCTGAAGTTGGCGTAGATGTGAAGTTAAAGGCTTGCACAATCCGGGTTTGGTTGGCCTGCTTGTTCGTGTCGGTTCTGGCTCTAGCAGCTTTAATCAGGGTTTTGGTGGTTCGGGTCGTACTCTGTGGTCTTATGGCTTGGGATTTTGGGGTCAGGGGGAGGCCTGTGTCCAAAGTCTGAGGTAGGCGGTATCGGACAAGACAGATAGGACACTCACTAATTCACTCACTCCGGCATGTATGTTTGCAAGCATGCAGTTATGTATGTAGGCATGCATTCACGTATGTACGTATGCGGGCATGAGTGCATGCATGCATGCATGCATGCAGGAATGGTTGGATGTAACTAAGTAAGTGTATGCATACATGCAAGTATGTGTGTGTATGTATGTATGTATGTATGTATGTATGTATGTATGTAATGTATTTATTGTATTGTAATGCAATGTCATGTAATGTAATGTAGTGTAGTATAGTGTAATGCAGTGCTATGTAGGCATGTATGCATGTGTGCGCGTGCATACTGCATTATGTGCATATGTACGCATGTAACATAGAAGTGAAACAAGCAACTCTAACCTAGCAGAGTCGTCTAATGTCACCTAACATAAAAAATATACTGTAATATATGTAGTTAGATAAAGGTCATTTAAACGCCACAGAACATAAATGTTTAGGTATAATTTGTCTCCATGACCTGATATGTGATTCATGTTGTATGACATGACATGATATGACGTGGGCTAACAAGTTGCAACATATTGTCGTAACACAAGGGATACCATAGATAATACAATACTAACTAGTGTGATGCCCAGCATAATCCAATCTAACCTGATATGTATCTGCATGTATTTAAAGATCTAGATATGCAGCGGATGGAGGGAGAGATAGATACATACATACACACAAGATATCCCGTCACGTACCTTCACGCTTTGAAGTTTGGCAGGAGGCGCCTGCGATCGCGCCGGGCGATGAAGGCGGGCTTTCTGTTTTACAGGTGTAGTGGATTTAGGGTTTAGGGTCTTCAGTTGCTGCCGAAGCTTGAGGGGCGACCGACGCCACGCGAAGTACGAAGCCTGTTGCAAGAAGGGTCTTCAGTTGTGGGGGATTTCTTCGGGCTCTGGGAGTCTACGGTAGGACGATCACCTTAAGAGACACTGTTGGCAAGGGCATTACCTCAATGGCCTCAACGACTAAGGATTGATTAAGGTTTGAGGCTCCCGGTCTGCCTTAGCAGCCGCAAATCTACGAGAACTGCCCGATGTGTAAGAAAGGGCTGTTTTAAGCCTTACACCAAGCGATGCCGGCTACCCTAATTCTCGCATTATCACATTCCTCTACCTCAAACCCCCCGGAGCGGGCCTCTATCCTTTATCCCAAACTCTGAACCCCGAGCCCTCAACACCCTGAACCTCAAACCCTGCGTGCGACATTGTCTGCATGAGCGGGTGGGAGCAAAACCCTGCAACTTAAAATCAAACCCGCGGAGACTGGAGGGAACTTCACTCTTCCGGACCGTGCACAAGCCCCGCGTGGCCATCCGGGCCGCGCCATCTACCGAGGCCGAGATCGTGTCGCCCGCACGGAATTATGGGCAAGAGGGTTCAGGGCTTAGGATCTAAGCTTTCGAGTTGCCTCGATTCGGGTTCGGGGTCGAGGGCTTTTCGGATCCGGGTTTTGGGTAGTGGCTTTTCGGCGTCCACAAAGATTCTCCGGCTTAGCATGCAGAGTTCAGACTTGAGGATCCCGGGTTTTGCAAGGGCTGCCGAATGTAGTGCTACCTAGTTGCACAAGCTTTTATGGCTTTCGTCTTATGTTGTGCCCAACTGTTTGGGGCCGTGAGGGAAGGATTCAGGTTCATTGGCCGTTCCTTAGGGGTACTTAGAAATACTTCTTAATTTTGGGTTATGATAATCCCTAAGAAACAGCTAAAATTATAATTTTTGCTAGGGTTCTAAGTTCAGTATAGTACTATAGATCCCATATAGGCCCCCTTTAAGGAACCCTTATAGATCCCTTTAAAAGGCCCCCAGGTTCGGGTTTAGGGCCTGAGATCAGACCGAGGCTCCAAGGCTTAGTGACTTAGTGTCTTGGGCTCTGATGCCTGGGAGTTTCCGAAAATTAGGTGTACCTTATTTTGGGGTCCTGATAATAAGGATACTACTAAGACTATTTAGGGCACTAGAATTGGGTCCCCCCATTTTCGGAAACTCCCATTTCAGCTTCCAGAAGAGGCAGGGGTGGGGTAGGGGTGGCTTCGGACTGCAAGATGATACAATCCACCTTCAGCAGTTTGGCGCTCGGACCTTTTCGGCAGAGACACAGCTTATTTTGGGGTCCTTATAATAAGGATCCTACTATTTAGGGTACTATAACCTTTTCGGAAGAAAAGGTGCCAGCTACAAAGGTTTCGGCTCTAGGAGGTTTCGCGGCTCCGAAGGAAGAGCTTATGAGCACCAAACTTCGACAAATGTATTCTAGAACCCTTTGAGCTGTAGACCTCGAGCCTTGTGCTGAGCTTGTCTGAGGCATGTTCTAGTCGTGGCGGAGATCTTCAAGGCTGGCGGCAGGAACTTGAAACTGTAAACCTTGAACCGCTAAACCCTGAGGTTAGCGGTTTGTGGTTTATGCAAAAGTCCCCCAATGGAGCCCAAAGCCTCAAACTGGCGAGAGCGGGTCTCCTTCGCTACCGTATCTTCTCAAGAAGTATGAGACAGAGGCATTTTGAGGTTCGCACAGCAGATGCCTTCCTTCATGGTGGTGCGGCCGTTTTACTTCGTTGTGCACTGTCAGCACAGGCATCCCAAAAGTGTCCTAAAAATGCGTCCCTGCCCAAACCAAACCCATCACTTCAGGTGACATCAAACATGCAAATGCTGCCTCCTCCGTTGTGGGACCAGGATGGTGATGCGAGTCAAATATGGTGGGCGCACCCCTGTACTCCGAAACCTAAACCCAAAATCCTGAACCGTCAGGTTGTTAGGTTCTTCGGTTGGATCCCTGGGAGCAAGAGGCAGGAGGAAACGACAATGCAAAGCATCAAGTCGTTCCTCACCCCAAAGACTATTCAGAGTCATTTATTAGATTCTCGCAGACCCCGTGCTCGTGCTCAGTTGTATTGTAGTTCCTTAAATTTATGTCAATCTCAGGAGTGCTAAGTATAGAGAAACCATGTTTTCCAGAAGTAGGAAATAAATAGGACTCAAGGGTTTATAGGCAATAGGAAAAAATTGGCAAGGAAACTCAATAGGAGAAAAATCTGAGATGTAGGAAAAACCTAGGAAGAATAGGAAAATACCGCAGGGCCGCAGAGTGGAAGGTCCTATTTTCTCCTATTATATTTTTATTTCCGGAGAAGCCAGGATTCCCATTTTCTTCCTATGTTTATACTTTTTTGAGCCGCTTGCGCTCTGATTAAAGTTAGCACCAGAGAATGACATACCCTTAAATGCACACTTGATTGAAGGATGTGGGCCTGAGTAAACCATCATATTTTCGGATTTGGGGTTGTCTTTACAACCCTAGTTGAAGCTCTAATTGCCTCAGCTGTAACTTCACTTATACATGACCACACCAGAGCCTTTCCGTGTAAGGCTCTGCCCCGAAGTGTCAAGCTAGCCAAGTGCCAGGTCTCGGAGGACCTGCCCTCCGGCTGGGTGAAGCTCGATCCGGAGGAGGAGCGCCTTTGGGTCAAGCTTGACGAGGAGGTCTTCTTTTGGGCGCTTGAAACTACAGTTAATAAGAAGCCCTACTGGGCGCCACAATTTCCGTAATTGCCGTGATCTGCCGCTGAAAAGATCATGATTCTCAGCATAGCGTCACCGCTGGCCTTACAGCCCGCCACGATAGCAGGCATGGGTTCGTGCCATCGATGCTGGCTATGTTCTGCGCGATGGGCGAGAAATCGGCAAGCCCGACCGCAATGTAATGACAGCAGCCCTTGTTGGAGTCTATCTAGAATCCAGAGTCCAGAATGCGTTATCAACTCCGATTCGGGGGGCAGCCTCCGGGCAGAGGTCGAGAAGCCTGAGAGCATGGGTTCAAGACGAAAACCTACACGAATCTACATCAGCAACAGCACCAAGACTGGTATGTCAGATCAACGCAGCAACGTCATGCCAAGCATGTTGAGAGGAAAGCTCAAGTCCTCGTGTTCCCGCTTTTCTGCGGCTCCCTTGAAAGTTATACTCTTTGCAGCATGGCGTGGAAACTTGAGGCTGAACCTGACACAGCCCGTGTGCAGGTCTTTTGGACATGGCATGACTCTTGCAAGTGGTGTGCGGCAGTTGCCAAGACTTGCCAACATGTAACAGTGTGAGGAGCAAGCACATACTGCTTGAAGTAAAGGCAAACGATGACCAGTTATCAAGGTTTAAATTACACAGCCTTGAACGTTTCTTCCAAATGCCACGCTGGCCATCCAGGTCTCGGGAAGCTCATCGAGCAGCTTCCCGAGGAGGAAGCCCAGAAGGATACCTTGGGAGATGTGGAAGACTTAAAACCCTATTGAAGCTTGTAGCCCAAAAGCCAAAGATCGTTGGAGACGGAGATGCGAACGGGGATGACTTTCACAGGTATGTCAGTCGAATTGCTTCTTGAGACAGCAGCTGAACTTGTCAGGATAGGAGCAATGCAAACCGGGGCAGTCTGAGTTTCAAGCCACACAGTCGCCAGGACGTCTGGCCGTATGCAACAGCCATAAATCTGGCGGCTGCATTGCAGGTGCCTTTCCAGATGCAGGTGGGGGAACATGGTTCAAGGGGAAGGTGAAAGTTCTCCGTCTTTCTTGGGCTGAATCGAGGAAGAACGACGGTAGGCTCTTCTTGTCGACGAGTAGATTGTCGGCCCAGGCGGTTGCCCTGGGGTCTAGCATCTGAATTTTGGGTTTAGTGTAAAAGCCTTGGGCAGGGTGAGGGCCTTCGACCCCAACCACGGGAGAAGATGCCGCGACTGTGGCTCAGCGCCTGGCACGTGCACGGGGAGGCGGAGGCCGAGCCTAGTTCAACTCAGACTAAAAGAGACAGTTCAAATGCTGTGATACATGTGCATATACTTCAGTATGTGTGCATGTATGTATGCATGCAAGCATGCATGTACGTACGTATGTATGCATGTACCACCGACAGAAACATGCATGAATGCATGCATACATATGTAAATATCTGTATGTATGTATGTATGCATGCATGTATGTATGTGTGTATGTGTGTATGTATATATACATATATATATAGACATATATTTGTCTGTAGGCCGATTTGTCCATATATGTCTATATGTATATTGTATTAGATATCTGAGCTGAGCGTGTGGATGTCCTGAACTTTTGGAGGCTGCTCGGTTTCAGTAGTTTTGTTCTTTCCTTGTCCGAGCTCAGCAGCTCGCCTACTGGTTTAGGGTCCGTCGCTCAGTCTCCCGATCACATGGAAGGCTCATGGGATGTTGGGGCTCATGGAAGCAAGGATCCAAATTTAGAGCTTTGTGGTGGGAGGGCGTGGGTATTGCCTGGACCGTGTTCCCGTATTGCTGGCATAGAGAGCTGAAAAGCCTGTGCAAGCCAGTCCGACATAGCTATCTAACGCCTTAGGCTTTCTTTCCGTCAGGAGCATTCTTGTCGTAGTCTCCTCGTCTCAGCTCCTCCCCGGCTGCTGTCATCCCAGTGGAGGTCCCACGACCGCTGTTGCTGCGTGGATCTGCGGTCCCGCGGTTGGCGCTTGCAGTGTTACCTGGCCTGAGTTCAGACGTATGTCAGCTTATGCACCTACCTTCTGAACACCGAGAACCTTTGGCGCTATGCAACCCTCATAGTATTTTGAAGGCGCCCGTAAAGTAAGCGTTCTGACATACCCTTAGAATAGCCTGAAAGTACCCCAAACGTTCAGTCTCGAGGCTTCTGCGCGGCTCACCGGCCTCAGCCGTCCAGAGCTTCCTGCCTTTCGGAGGAACGAGATCCGAACCCGAAAGCCCTAAGACCTCAAGTAGTACGGTGTAGTAAACTAATTCCGTGAAACAACCCATGCAATTTTCAAAGTCACCCCAACCCCAAGCCTTCTCACAGGCCAAGCCTACTTCCGCCATCGAAACCTCTTGCTTCCAAATGCCGGTTCACAACACCTGGCTTGGCGGAGCGTCGAAGCTAGGACTTGCTAAAGGTCTTCTCTAGGGCTTTACTTAGGACTTAAGATGAAGTGTCCAGGACGTGGGGTTGAGGGTTTGCCAGAAGTGTGCGTAGATGCCTGGGTCCGAAGTCTTGTGCTTCAAGCGAGGTTTTAGGGTTTACGCATCAAGAAGTTAGTGCAGATAAGCCAGGACTCACAAGCACTTTTGCTTCGTCGGCCAGAAGACCTATTTAAGCCATTCGGAATTCTAGACCTTATTACCCTCATTCCGAGAGCTCCGCCGCTACCAGGCGTTACCACATAGCCCAGGGCTTCGGACTGATCTTACTGTTCTTCGATGCCCCAAACGAGCCGACTGAGCATCTTGGCTTGCAACTAGTGTGCAAAGCTAAAGTAATTAGTAAGAATATTCCTTGGGGCCCTTACTATCGCAATGCCTCAAAATATGCAAGAGAACGGCGTATTCATTATTAGCCGCCCCACATCATGTGCAGTGTTTTCTTCAAAGTGTATCTAGTCTGGGTCTCTGACGCTGTAGCATTCACCGGGCTCTTGTTAGTGTTTAACTCAAGTTGCCATTGAGATGGGGACCAGGTTACATATATACATATAGACATATATACATATACACATATACACATATACACATATACACATATACATATATACATATACATATATACATATATACATATACACATATACATATACATATACATATACATATATATATATATATATATGTACGTACATACACACACACATACACATACACATACACATACACACATATACTTACATACATACATACATACATACATACATGTGTATATATATATAATACACCCCTTTCAACTAACGAGGAACTCAATTTGTGGCGGCTTTAAACTATGTTAAACTATACCTGATCGATGTCTGAGGCGACAAAGTTTACTGATGCGGCCGTTGCGAATTGAGCCGGCTTTGAAGCCAAGAGATAAAAACATAGTTAATGCCTATGTAGTTAATGTAGTTAAATATACATAGATAAACAGATAGCTCGATGTGTATTAGCATCTTAAAATATGGAGGCCATACGGATCCATAACGTGTTCAGAGTAAGTACAGACACTGTCCAAGCCACAGTTCTGCCATGATGCTCCACCTAGCACAGCATCATCCCATCCCTTTCAACTGTGATTACACTCGGCTGTTTCTGCTTCGTCCCTACCCTCCGAATGCAACAGTCGTAGTCTTCGTCACTGTCGCATTGATCATATTCGTCTTCATCAGCAGCGTCATCAGCATCTTGTTTTCATCTTCAGCGCTGAGCCGGATCCTTATCACATCTACGGCACTGCCCCGGAGATTGAGAGCTGCTCGGACGACATTCTGGTAAAAGCTCAAAGGCATGAAGCCCTGAACTCCCGAACGACATGCAGGATACCCGACCCCAAACCCTATCTGCCAAATCCTGACCGCAGCCCCAGCGAGCTGAGGCAGGAGGCAGTGGCCATTGCCGAGGCTTTGGCTGCAGCCCGAGGCATGCAGCGGCGTTGGGAAATGACATGTCTGTTTGTGGGTAAGTGTAATGTGTGTATGCGTGTATGTATGTAGGTACTAGGCAGATAGGTTGGTTGGTTGGTTTATTGGTCGGTGGGTAGGAAGGTAGGTAGGTATGTCGGCTTGCATGAATGAGTGTATGTAGGTACGCATGTGTGGTTTGTTTATGTTTGTTTGTCTGTCTGTATGTATGCATGGATGTATGTATGTTTGTCATGTATGTATATGCACGCAGACAGACATTCGGGATCCGCGGTGTGGGCTGTGGGACTTGAGCTTTAAACGGCTTGGAGCTTGGGTGCGAATATGAAGGTGCTCGGCTACCAGGTTTCATTGTGGGATCAGGCTTCTCGGGCTTCGTTTTTGGCTCCGTGGGAAGCTTCAGTGGGTGCATCGCCGGATCAGTCTTATGGAGGACAACTTGGGGCTTTTCTTGAGGCATTATCAGTGGACCTGTGCAGCCGTCGCCGTACCAATCCCAGGTTCCTCAGAACAGAGCATGGCTTTTGGCATATATTGTAGTGTAGCTACATCAAATAACATTAAGGAACAATGTTAAACATCGAGTCGGGACATGTCGTGACGATTCTACGCAGCTACTTGGAGGTTGCTGTGCAGAGCAAGGGCTATCTTTGCTTGAAGTGAACTGAAGCAATTGTACTTAAAACTCGCGAATCTTCACTTTTATCATATTGAAGAACAAGAGGATGTGCATCTACCGCCACATTCTGTCTTCTCACGGTGGAACCAGTTATCAAGCACTCCTATCCCGCCACCCCGAGACAGCAACCCTGTCAGGGCCATTCCATGGAGTCAACGCCTGATGGGATTCGAAGATAGTTTATAGTAGTAAGGATAGCAGTTGTTCAAAAGATTGCTATCCATGACAGTAACAGTAGTCATAGTGATCTCAAGAGCAATAAGAGTAGTAAGATGCAGGACCGTTACAACTGCAACGATACTAACTAACTGACAGATTGGAGGTGGCATTGTCGTCCACCTGTGCACAGAGGACGTGATGCAGTGAAGAAGTTTTCGGCTGAATGTGGAGCTTGCAGCTAGCTTGTTCCCTTTCGCATCCATTGATCTTCTATATATGAGAGAAGACATGAAATCGACCACCGGCAATTTGCGAAATCCCAAGAGTCCTCCAAGCAGAATCAGAAGTTTTGCTTGCAGGTCTGACCCTACACTCCCAACTGCGACAGCATAGCCTGGAAGTATGCTTTCATAGCTGTCAACCTGAATGTGCTGCTCAATCCGACAAGCCTCGACACTGGGCATCGAGACCTCCATCCACCACCCTAGTTCAGGGACCAAGCCCCATAGAGGCTTCCCCGAAAATTCAAAAGCCCTGGAGCATAGCAACTAAACAAAGATTGTAGATATTGGGCCCAAAAGACCCCCACACCAAGTGCCAAAGAAGAAAGGATTGGTGGAGCTCAACGCTTAGCAGTTCTCGCTTCGCTCTGCGCCGGCGCGAGAGTGCGGCCTAGCCTCAGTAAACGATTAGGGTAGGCTTGATCTGCAAATTTGGGAATTTCAGAGATAACTATGTGGATCCTCACATAAACTACCACAAACTTCAAGAACTCCTCAGATCGGACTTCGGAAGAAGCGGCTGACATAACTGCTGTACTTGGGCTTGGGTTTTTCTTCCGAGCAGGTGACTGGACTGGGGGTTGAAAGCTAAAGTTTCCCTACACCCTCCCAAAACCCTAAACCCTAAACCCTAAACCGTGACCCTTCCAAGGCCCTGAATCTTGAAGCGCTCGGTTCGGTGCTGCAGTCAGGAGAAGCTTCAAGCTGGGTTCATCCTAGAAGTTGTCCCTGCAGCTCGGGAACAGTAGGAGCCCCTCAAAGCCACAAACCCTAAAACCCCAAGCTCTGAAGCCGAAAGCCCTTGAAATGCCATTCGGAAGCTGCAGGGCGCTGCTAGGCCGGAAGCTTCGGAGCTATGTGGCGATGCTGCCCCTAGAGTGCTCGTCATGTCCTCAAGCAAATATAGGCAGAAGGAGTGGCTTGTGAAGGACCACTGGTACATCGGAGGCCTTCCCGATAATGTGTAGAGAGGTACATGTTGCTGGAAGGAAAAACCAATAGCAACAGTTCTCGACCGAATACCAGGAGAGTGATTCGTGGAATGCCGAGGGCTCGCAAGCCTGGAAGCTCCCAAAGCCCATTCGACCTTGGAGCCTCCCAAGGCCTTTTGCGAAGAGACCATGCAGTGCCTAAGATGCACTTGTGCCCGATTATCATACTCTGTTGATATGATGATATATCTCGTACGATGTTAGGTAATACTTACTGTAGTATACAATAATATCACTTGTGGGGTTGTGAGATTTCGGGCCCGAACAGGCTGATCCGATAAATGCAGGAGCCATTCTCAGACTTGTTGGGCATGAGCAGCTGAAGGATGGAGACTGCTTGCAGTATTGCCTTATAGGTACTAGATCATACCATGTTGTTATCATACCGTGCTATACTGTAGTATACTGTATTACGAAATAAGTAGAAGTGATTCCAATTACAGCCAACCATAATGAACTACTGCTAGGTTTGGGAAAGGTCGGATGGAACAGCTGGGTGCCAATAACAGTTCGAGTTCGGGAAAACCATGGATCGTGAGACCATGAAGACCCCCTAACTCTGTTTGTCACAATTCATAATTATGGTACATTACAGGACAGTATAGTCCTTTGAAAGTTTGCATTTCGCACTCTCGTGGTTGAGGCTGTTCGAGACCGTCCGTGATGTCCAAAGCCGACAGTGCCTGGCGGTCGATGCAGCCGCCCGTGAAGCGCAGAGACGCGGCTTCGACGCTGGGATTGTCGCTGGGGCGCCTGTTGCCCTTGACGATATATTTTTATCTGGGGACACGTGGGCGTAGGCTTGCAAATCCTCGAAACCAAGGATTGGTTGCTCCACATTGACTCGGACGAAGCGCTGCATCTGCCAAAGCATGTGTCCTGACTGCTGCTGGCAAGCCTGATGTTGTTCTTGTTGTTCGCGAGTGATTATGGTGCAAGCGTCGGTGATGCGGCTGCTGCTGCCGACCCCTGTGCTGTCACTGTAGACGGCAAACAATGGGTGATGATGCTGACGGGGAGGTGATTACTGTGCTGTCTGCTGTGGTCCACAGGCATATAGGGAGCCCTGCTTTGCGAATCAAAGGCTAGGTACTTCCCGCCACAAGCCGGCATCAGCTTCACAGGCCGATGCAAGAGGCTTCTTTGCGGGGCCACTAGCCTGCACGGGGCACTTCCTTGGTTTGACTTCAGGATCGCATTTTGGCTTGGGGAGGGCGAGGCGGGGTCATGTCCTGTGCAGCCCGCGGCCGATCCTGCAAATTTTTCAGGTTGCCGGCTGATGTGGACCAGGCACCTTTGCAGCACGATTTCTGAAAGCAGGTGGTTGCTGTGATTAAAACTTCATTCCGCTCATTGCCATGACGACTATTGCTGCTGCTCTGACATCAAACATGTTCATGCTTGCGCCTACCCTTTCTGCCACTGTGCTTTTGCTATCAAGGTGGTGTTCAATAACTTGGAGGCAGTTCCCGAGTCTTTCGACATCGTCACTCGGCCGTGGGGCGTTGCAAAATGTTATGCTTTGAGGTCTGGGTGCAGGATTTAGGGTTTAGGGTTCGGGGTTTAGGATGCCGAGTTAAACTTCGGCCATGGGACCATGTGCAGACCACAGCAGCCGGGACTTCCGGAGATTGTGCACAGTGGAATCCTGAAGCTAGTGCTTCTTCATTACTGCGGGTCCATGCTCATGTCTCGACTTGGCGAAAGTTGCCCTGCAAGCTCGGAACTGCAAGGACGACTGGTTCAAGGATGTGAGCCTTTTCAAAGTGCACCAAAATCTTCTTCGGGACACCACGGAGGCCTCGAGCAGCAAGAAGTATCTCGAGAAGCTGGAGCGACTGGGCTTGCATATTTACAGGGAACTCCAGAAAGTTGGAATATGGTTTCAGGGTAGGATCCCTTATAATTTACCATAAAGGGTTTAGGATAATCATATTCCAACTTTCTGGCTTTTACCTTAAGGTTTGGGTGGGGTTTGGTTTAGGATTCTAGAGGCCTCGGTACGGGTTGCAACCGGGGCCTCTAGGGTTAGCTCAAACTTCCCGAGCGATCGAGCACTTTCCCAAAGATATGTATAAAAAAGCGTTTCTTCAATCATGTTTCCTCAGGAGGTGGAGGCAGCGCCAGATCGCCAAAGGAACGGACCCAGAGGATATTCGAAACTTGGCGCAACTTAAAAAATTGCACTAGAGGCAGGGTGCTTTGCTCCGTCCTAGATGCAGTCACGAGCTCATGCGATAAACCCAGGCGATTAAATATCGGGCAAGGGGTATGTGTTTTGACAGGGGTCCTCAAAATCCCAAAGTTATTTAGGGGTTCTGTAAGCGTCGCTTCTATTCCGAAACTCACACGTGTCAGGAACGAACCGCAGCTTCGACAGCGCGCTGCTGCCGGTGCGGCCGCACAGCTGACCTCACCAGCCCATGGGGGGAGTGGTGGGGGGGTTGCATTATCAATACAAGTGTTTTAGGGTTTCGGACAGTTGAACCGATATCGGTAGTGTTTGCAAACGGCGGCTGCTAAAGCGATACCAATAGCACAGGGAAACGGCTATGAGCCAGAGCTGAAGTGTTCCAGCTCTTTCTGGTAACAGAGGCAACACCTGCACGATCGTGAGCAGTTCGATCCTCAGCCTTTAAGAACCTGAGACCGAAACCTGAAGCCCTACTCCGTGGACCCTAAACCCTCGATCTTGGACATTGAGGATCGCCAGGCGGAAGGCCGTTCAAGAGCTCCGCCTCGTACTGCCCCCCGGGGAGGATGGGGATGAAGAGCCGTTCGACTCCGACGAGGAGGTGTGCTTGGAGACTGGGGTATCGGGTGATTGTAGGGTTCAGCAGCAGCTTCGGGACGGTATGGCATTGTATGGGATGGTATGCAGACGGAGCGTGCCAATGGCACGTTTGGGAAGCTCCGAAAATGCGGAATCTGGGTGAGAACTGCTGTCTTTGAAATTCGGCCAAATTCGCAAGGTAAGGAGCAGCAGTAGCAGCAGCAGCAGTAGCGTCAGCGATAGCATTTGCAGTTGCAATAGCAATGGCGTTAGCAGTGGGGATGGCTGTAGGGATGGTCGTATGAGGGTATATGAGGGTAAGAGTAGTGAGTAGTAGTAGTAGGTGTTGTTGTTGATGCTTTTGTTGTGTGATTATGATTATGACTATGATTATGAAGATTAATTACTACTGCTATTGCTTTCTCTGCTGTAATGATTATGATTCTGAAGATCATTGCTGCTATTGCTTTTCTTCAAAAGTCTTTGGGAGGAGCCGAGCCGGGGAGCTCGGAGGGCCGAGCTTCTTGGCAGAAAACAGATCTTAGGGGTACTTAGAAATTTTTTTGGTTATTATAATCCCTAAGAAACAGCTAAAATTATAACTTTTGCTAGGGCTGCTAGGGTTCTAAGTTCAGTATAGGATCTCCAGAATCTTCCGGCCCGAGGGGCTAGGCTACTTACACTTCAGGATTTGGGGTTTAGGCTTCGTCGAGATGGTTTCGGATTCCAATCATGTGTCACGTGCGACCATCTGTGTCCTGCAACCGGGCTTGACGTTTCGAATGCCTGGGAGAGGGAGAGAGAGAGAGAGAGAGAGAGAGAGAGAGAGGGTTCGTTTAGGTATTTTAGGCTAGGGGGGTTGGATTTATATAGGGGTTGAGCCTTACGGGCTCTGGGTTTAAGGGCATAAAAGTTAGAGAGATTTCTCCCACTTCGATACCCTTCGCCTGGCCACCTGCTGTTGGCTGGGTCACATCTGTCAGATGTTCCTTTACGGTGGGACACGAGACAGGACTGAAGCTCAGGCCGTAATATATTCCGCAGTCCTTTTGCGCAGAACACACAGAGTCTGAAGGCGCGAATCCCATGAGACTGATGCGGGAAGGTTCGAAGACTTGCCGTGCTACTTCGTGGCCTACGGAAACGGGAAGGCGGGGTGTTGCCTTAGCAACAAGTGGAGTTCTGGGTTCTCTGCACAGGGTCCCAGAACAGCTACCAGGTAGCTCTAGGATGTAGACTTCAAAGCCCGGAGCTCCCGAAAGTCGTGGCGTTTACGGATCAAGTGTTCTGAGGCTGCATGCCGCTTGAGATCTCCACCGCCTTTGCCGGTGGGCGTGCATCGATTCGGATCAGATAGCAACGAGAGGCAGGGAGTTTGTCGCTCGAGGGTCTTGTTCCCAGAAGTCCCTCCCACTGCACCCGTCCTTTTCAGGGCGTGAACCTATCCCGGCCATGTCCTGTCGAGCTGCTTTATACCTTTCCACACAACTGTCGAACTAAGCGGGTTGCGTGGGTCCGCGCAACTGCACGGCTTCGACTCGAGGATTGCAGGCCTAGCATCGGCTTTACAAAGTTTTCATGTGTTGCCACAGAAGCCGCCTGGAAATCAGTCCGATCCTCCGAGTCCAGGGTCCAACTCTCACCTCTGAAACACATAGGGTTTACACGGCTTTACCCTCAACAATTACCTGTACTATTTTGGGGGTTCCTCATTAGCCTTGAAGCCTGGTAGGCTGCGCAGCCAGCGCTGCACGGGCTATGGCGCTCCGGTGATCCTGCACTATGCGAACTGCGGCCACATGGCTCACTCGTTTCGATCCCTGAACCCGGAGAGTCTGGGTGAAGCGGAAGATGTATTCATCGTGCGCCCTAGCAGCGGCGCCAGAAGAGGATTGGGAACATTTGGAGTGGTTGCGGCGGCGGTGGAGGTGGTGGTGGTGCTGCTGCTGGCGGTGGCAGTGGTGGTAGGAGTACAAGTAGGAGAGAACTGGGACCATTGGACTTGGACTGTGGCCAGTCGAAGTAGGAGGAGTAGGACCAGGCAGCCCTGCAATGCAGCCAGCGTAAGGCTACAATTCGTGGCGGAGGAAGTACGAGATCCTTGCGAGCGGACATGGAACTGAGGCCGAAGAAGCTAAATCGCTGGGGCCCAGGGACTTTGGGTGTAATTCGTTTGGTTTAATGTATAGCGGGTGTTGAGGATGGACGCGGGACTTTAGGCGATGTTTGTGTGCGTGGCCTCACATGATGACCTCGGGATTTCAGGTCTACATGTTTCAAGGTCAAGGGCCTGCCTCAATCCGAAAGTCACTCTGGCGACTGCAGATTGTCCGAACATGGCAAGGCAACGTAGGTTGACCGCACATGATTTCTGGTAAGCGAAGTTAAACAGGATGGGCCGGATCTGCAAGCACGGACGCACTTGATAATAAGCCTTAATCATACGAGCCTATTGCAAGTGCCCTTAGTTGTGCAGTTTCATTGATAAAGGGGTCTGAATGATTAGTAAGACCACCCGATTGAAGCCCCTTTATCCCCAAACCCCTGTTCTGAATATACAGAGGTCCCGGTATCAGGGTTTAGAGTTTCGGAGTGACAGAGCCCGGCAGGATGGCGGCTTCTCTATTGAGCGCAAGGGCATCAAGTCCATGCGCGCCCTTTGGCTTTCCAAGGGCTCTGGATTTCGCAAACCCTGCAGCCTTTTGTTTGGAGTTTAGTGCTTTTGGCGAGGTTTGTGGGGCCTTCGAGTTCGGCGGCACCATTTTTCTGCCCTCCCATTTCGAATCTCCCCAACTTCACGGCGCTACGAACCCAGGAACCCGTCTCGGTTTCGGCGTATGCGTGAAGCGTCAATGTCACTTCGCATGTCAAGTTTTTTGGCAACCGAGAACTGAGAGCATGCATTTCGAGCGGAGCCCAACAGTGTTAGCGAGAATGAGCGCTGGATTGTGGTGGGGAAGGACTTTTCTGCCAAAAACACTCAAAAATGCGCACTCCAGTGTGGTGCCGTGCGATTCATCAGATCCGGAGGCACCCAAGTATTGGATTTTACAATGAGTTCGACGATGTTTCCGGTAACGGAGCCAGCACCACGCCACAAGCACCTCGCAGGAACAACAACCACATCCATCTTGCCGAAGAACCCCATCGGTTTGCCATGCAGATTGGAGACAAATGAATCACCGCCGGTCAGCTGACGTTTTCAGTTGTGTTGACAGCTTCGTTCTGGTGAACTTTGAAAGATGAAGCAGCATTCCGTCGCACAGCTGTCTTTCGGATTCGGATGATTTGGTGCGGTCCTTCCAAGTTGTCCCCCAGTGGCTTCGTCACTTTTGCAAGACAGGCCTGAAACTCTAAGCATACAAGCCTCGATAGTTATTAGTAACAGTCTTTAGGGATAATAATAACCATAACGATAGTATAAGAACCTCCAAAAGTATAAATCCCATATCTGAAGCACAAGGCTCACTTGGCTCACCGCGCGCTCAGCCAGCGTGGCAATGAGGAAGATCTCGCGAAGTGACCGAGTAGAGATGCAGCCTAGGTCCGAAGCCTCTCATATGAGTGGTTGTCGAAATTAAGGTGCCCCTTTGGGTCCCTAATATAGTACGGCACCTATGTTTTAGGGTACCCAAAAAGGGAGCTTAATTTTGACAACCATATAAAACCCCAAAGTCTTCATCCTGAACCCCAAGCCCTGAGCTTAGCAAATCTGGTGCCGAAAGCCACACTGGGGTGAGTCCCTTTGTATGGAGCTTCGGATGTGTTCTCCACGTCGTCCCTGCTAATGCGACTGAGGAAAGCTTTCAATTCTCCGCCCGAAATCCCGTTTATGTTTCCCGACATGTGACATAGTAGGGCTAGTATGGTCCACGATGTTTTTGGGTTCCTGCTCAAGGGACTGCTGTCATTTCAGTGTTCGATTATGGGTGTCGGTTGTGGCGTGAACAGAGCATTAACTTGACAGCAGATGTTGCTTGGTGAACCAGTCAAGTAAACGTGCTAACGACTCAAAGAACCTTGTCTTTGTGCAGACTTTGCCAGGCTCCTTCGAGTGTGAGTGTGAAAACACCGCTGGTTTTGCAGACAGCAGTATATATATATATATATATATATATATATATATATATATCTATATATTCTCGTATAGTACAGTAAGTAGAGTAGACTAGGGTATCGTATAGCGTAACCTAGAATAGTATATATATATAGTATGGTAGAAACTTGAAGTAGTGGAGTAGGCTGTGCAGCACTGTCGTTTGGCAGCCTTCAGCCGGAGTTCGAGCTCGGACTACGACTTCTCGCCTTGAGCCGTGATGTTTCGGATGTTCTTGGTATAGGGGTTTTAACAGTTCCTTAGGTCCCAGGGTTTGGGTGGTTTTTGCAAGACTAATTTCTACAACGAAGGATAATTTACAACATTAAATGATGTGTGCACATTGCACGGTAAATTTCTTTCTCAATTGTCCACAACACAAATGATTGCCCCGCCGAAGCTAAGTTGCATGTGAGCATTTCGTCTTTGTGTTCCCACACGTGGCCGAAACAACTTTTGGGTTCTTGAACTTTCGTTGTCGGGCTTCTACGTTGCATGCCAACTAGAGGTGCGGAGTGCTAAGACAGCATGTCTACGTTTGTTTGGTCTCGAGGGCTCGAGGTTTGGGGTTGTGGGGTCCGGGTCATGTGAAAGGCAGAACACGTGTGGGAAGGTATTACCGCACCTACATCATGGGCAATGAGTTTGGCGAGTTGCCGCACTTTGCTTCTTGTCCGACAAGCTGCGACAAAGATTCCTCCTGCCGGATTAGGTTTTGCTTCGGGTCCAACAACCGACGCAACAAAACCCTTAACTCTTGAACTTGGCTTTAGGCCTTGCGGTCCCGAAACCTTGAACTGCAACAAGTATGTGGTGCATCCATAAGGCATTTCAACCCTATAAAACTCTTAAATTGAGGTCCCCGATTTATTCATCTTTCTATCTGTCTAACCTTAACTGTCGGTATTACATATTCGTCTACAGAGCCCATCGAGCTGGGACCCCAGCCTACTGACTACTTAGAACCCTGCACCAACAGTCCTTGCCCGACACTCATTGTCATGGCCCTAGCTGCTACCACCTTCCGAGAAGATCCTTCTAACCTGACATGTTCTTTAAGGTTCCTAGACCCCTGAACTACCCTCTAAGAATTCCCAAATACCCACGATCATGGCCCATAAGGGCTCTGCTAAAGGGCTTTTGGGGTTCATTGCGGTCGAAGAGGCTCTTTAGGCTGCTCTATGTCGTCCAAGTCTTGGTGCCTTTTAACTCTAGATCCCAAGATCCAAAGCTAATCATCCTTAGCTAAAGCCCTGAAGCCCACGGCCCTAAACTCGTAGGGTCTCCATCGGCCGAACCGATGCATGTGGGGGAGTTGGGGAATGCAGGGCCTGAGAGGTCAGATCAGTGAGTTCCCGGAACGGAGGGTATGCAGCCACCGGTGTAGGATTTGTGAGTTTCCGAAAATATTTGACCCTAATATAGTACCCTAAATACTAGGATCCTTATTATAAGGACCCCCAAAGGTGCCCCAATTTTCGGAAACTCCCAGTTGGGGGTAGTTGAGTTAAGCTGTGCCTAGCCTTGCTCGAAACGGGCGTTGTGAGAGTAGCCTGGAGGACAAAAGTATGTAGGATAATAGCCTTAGTTTTTGTTATCTACTTTGGGGGTTTAGGTAGTCTGGAGGACAAAGCCGTTCACACATCAACCTCAACTGAAAACTGTCCTGAGGCCATAACTTTAAGAGAACTACCCTATACCCTAAACTGCGCCCGACTACAAGATGCCCAAGCCCCAGTAACTTAGGGGTACTTAGAAACATTTTTTAATTTTTGGTCATCATAATCCCTAAGAAACAGCTAAAATTACAATTTTTGCCAGGGTTCTAAGTTCAGTATAGTATTATAGATCCCATAGAGGCCCCCTTTAAGGAACCCTTATAGATCCCTTTAAACGGCCCAAGAAGGCCCAGTAAGCACAGTGCCTAGGCCTGCCATGGACTGGTGACGCGGATTCGCAGCGTCCAACGCGTGCTGAGAGAAGAGGAAGAAAAGGAAAAAGGGCTCAGAGGGTTGAGGGATGTTGAGGGTGGGGGTTTAGGACTGAAAGTTTATAGGGTTTAGGGTTTGGGATCCGAGGGTTTAGGGTTTCGGTTTGGGGGTGTTACACGCCTCGGCCTCAATACGGGCTTAGAAAGAAGGGTCCGACTTTAGGTTTCATCGCGGAGGGAGAAGCAAGGTGTGGAGCATAGAATCTTCAAGTTTTAGATTTTAGTTTTAGGGTTTGCAGCAGTTTAGCATGAGCTTTTGAGTTTAGGGTTCAAGGCTTACTTGCGTGCGGCATCGGGAGTTTAGGAGCAGGATGGCCGTGTTCAATCATGTGCTGGATGACCATGGAGGAAGTAAACAAGACCGACAGAAGCCGCAGTTTTGCCTTTGTGCAGATCTATATACGGATGCCAGGCTGAATACACCCAAACACTTGTTTCGCTCTTGTATTGGGCCGGGTAGGTAAAACATGTTAAACCAGGCGGAGTAAGTGTACTGATGAGGTGCCGGAGCTTTGGGATATGCTGTTCAGAGGTTTCTGGAGCGGCGTTACGGCAGAACTGAAGGCAAAGTGTCAGCGTCTCTTGAATCCCTTTCAGGTCTCTTCATCCGGCGAGAGCCATCATAACCATCGTGCTGGCAGACAGTAATCCCTAAGCACGCAGACTGGCGCATCGTGCCGTAGCTGTTGAGTGAGATTTCACAAATGCTTCCAAGTCGGTACCTCATGGTGCTGTGATGGCCGCGTTATGCCCCTCACCTTTCTTTGCAGTTGCAGGCAAACACCGCCCGGCAATTTATGGTGCAGTGCCCACCGAACGCCTCATGCTTGCACCTGTGGGGCGGTTTGAGCATTTGTTAGGCGTCGCGAGGGCTCCAGCGCCCACCGCCTAGGGCCAGTCTGCATGAAGACTCATCGGTTCTCTGTCAGATTCGCTGCTGCAGAGGATGCCCCTACCTAGACCCCAAAAAGTATGTAGAACAATAGCCTTGTATGGGTATTGGGCCATTCTTGTACCTATTTCGGGGGATTTAGGTGCAGCCTTGCGGCTCAGGTGGGTCCGGGGGACACCCTCAAGGTGACCAGCCCGGATGGCTTCGATGTCCAGGCCAGGAGCGAAAACTGGTGCCATTGCAACACTTAGAGATGATTAGTGCTAGGAGTCCCTGTACTTTACTTCAAGGCACGTCATTGTCATGAGCCTAAGTCTTCCCCTTATGCCTGATACAGATGTCCAGCCTGTGAAACGAACCCAAATGCCAGATCAAGTCCCTTGACTACTCAGCTCCGCGTCTCTGGGCAGGTATCAGTACCACTGGGCATTGGACCCGGCCAGCAGTTCGCCGTGTCGTACTGAGGGCATAGCCCAGAAGGTATTAAGTCATGGTGGGTTGTGCAAAATCCCGGTTTTTGTGCTGCGAAGCACGGAGTTGTAGGTGGATGCGCGGCAGCCAAGACCAAAGCTTCTTGGCTGTCGTGTTTGTACCACAACTGTTTCAGGGCTCTGAGGCCCTTGCGAGAGGTACGACATGTATTCCGATTTGCCGCAGATGGCAAGTCTCCGCTTGCAAAGCTCGGCTGTCGAGCTTGCTGCGCCGAGAGGATTTGTTGGATCTCTTGGGTTAGTATAATTTCGAGACCTGAGATCCCAAAGCCCCAAACCATGCTTACTGTATCCCAGGCAAGTCATAGACGGCGAAGCGCTCCGATAGAGCTTGAACGCAGAACAGCCCTCCGACAATGCGTTACTGCTTCCGATGGTTATGGAAAAACGCGTGGCTGCAGACGCCGCTGAGCACTGAGCAGAGCATCTTTTATTTAATCTATTGCCTCTTGCAAGGGGTGGCGCAGGATCCCGCACCAGAAGCCTTCCGAAGCAGCCCAAGAAGATCCCCACTTGAAAACACGTCTCGCAAGCCCTGCACGGTGTGTTTGTGTTTGTGTGTGTAGTCCCAATCCGCTGTTTACCCTGGGCCTTGGTCAATCCCGTTCTTCGAGTGGACACGTAGGGTGAACTCTGAAGCTGCCAGACCCCACTGCACGGATGGCCTCAGAGTCTGCATTTTTCCTTCATCTGGGTTGGTGCTGAATGCCTCAGAATCTGAGTAGTAAAGTTCTGAAGGAGGCCACGTCGTCTCTTTTGCCACGCACTCGCGCCTCGGTTTGACATTCATGCGCTTTGGATTGACAGTCTTTAACTTAATGACCCGTCCTTGCTTTCGACGAGTTGCCCGTGTCCTTGACCAGCTGGTTTGAGCACGACCCTAGCTGAACTCGTGATGAGAGCTCTGTACGCTTGACTGGTCGCCTTGCATGGCTTTGGGCGGTGGGTGGAGCTGTTTAAGGCATTAGACCGGTGCATGCTTCTAGATTCTAGGCTTCCTGCTCGAAAGGCTTTGCGTTGCTGAACATGCTTCGAGGCTAGTTATGGTCTGGCTGAATCCGGCATCACTGACGGATGTACATTGGCAAGCTTCCGATGACACGCAAGTACGAGTAGCAGTACCAGTAGCACTACAAGCAGGAAGAGTACTGCGTTGTCGTCGTCGTGGTAGTAGACTTAGTAGTAGTCGCTGTTGTAGCAGCAGTCGTAGCACCGGTAGCAGCGGTAAGAGGAGAAGGAGGATGAGGAGATGGAGTAGGGGCAAGAGTAGTTTGGTGGTAGTTCCACTGCCGCCATGACCATAAACCGTCATGGACATGTCCACTTTTATCTTTGCTCGCATGAATAGCCGTCCAGACAAGAATGTAAAGACCCCCTCTTGGGAGTCGGAGGTGTGTACTGGCCAGCACTTCGAAGAACGCGCTGGGCCTTTGCTTTATGGGCGTGGGCCCCGATCCTTGTGCAAAAGGGTTCTGACTAGACGAGTTCGGATTTCGGTTTCACTTTTGAAGATCAAGGCTGGGTTTTGGGAACCTTTGTGCTCGAGCTGCGACAGCTCCGACTTCGTTTCGTGCTCTTTTCACGCCAGGCGTCAGGAATGTTTACAGCAGGTGATTCAGTGCGAGGTGATATAATGTGGCTCAGAGCATGCGTCGTGGCCCAGGTGATACGCTGCATCTTCAGCTGAAGGCGAAGGAACCGAAACAGCTTCTCTCCATCACGCCGATCCTCGGCCCGGGAGATGCGGCTTCCGGATCTTTGAAGTGTATACGGCAACTTGTCACACCGAAGTCACCGATTCATGTAAGAATAGGTCACGGGGTTGCCAGGGAAACAAAGGCCAGGACTACAATCGCCATTGATTTCGGGATTCTGCTTTTACCCGACGGATCAACAGTGGGGGCGAAAGCCCCAACTCGCGCGACTAAAGACGGGAGCACAAGCAAGTGTGTCCCGGATGATTCACACCATTCCCAACATTAATTTCGGTGGGCAATCGCTTGAGGATGCGCCTGATGAAGATGAAGGACTGACTCCGAGGGATTGATTTCTTCCTAACTGAGCTGTTGCCATGTGTACCCGAACCATCATTCGCTGCAAAGGCGGCAGCGCCAACGTTTCCTCTCAAGAGTTGTTTGTCACTGCGGGGCACCAACAAAGAAGCCAAGCCCGTATCCCTGTAGCAACCCTTCCAACTTGGCCGATTTGAGCGTTTAGGTTGATGAATCCAAGCCGAACCCGAAAGTTTGTGTCTCAGAGCAGCGGCGTCCTGGGTAAAAAAGCATATACAGCGCTGAAACTATGTAGGTAAGCCCCTGCAGTCGATTGGCACGTAAGATTTCCACAGTGGGCTTCCAGCTCAATTGGTGCCTCTATCCCCCGTGATTTTAACTCTCGAGATTCCTGACATGCAATCACTCCACAACCATCGCATCTTCCAGCTAACCCGAACATCAGACAGTCCAACCGTCGCCAGGATACTTCTCTAGTGGTTACACGAAATACCTATAGTCTCCATTGTAGTTCCTTTTTGGGGTTATCTTATAGGATCCCAATTACATATTTGGTTAAATCGAAAAAAGGAACTACAATGGAGACTATAGGTAGTGGTTACACGAAATAACCATCAACTTGAGCAACACGCCGGGCAGCGACTTCTCGAGTTTCAATCTCAATCCTTCCACTCTGGATAAACTCTTCTCAACCTCAACGCTCCTAAGCCCCGAAACCACAAAGCCTTAAACCCCGAACTTAAGGTCTAATCTAGACATGCCAAGCCCTAACCCACAAAACACAAACTCGAAGCACATGCGTCGCTTGGATTGTCAGAGTGTGAGCGCTGAAACCATAAAGTCAAACAAAGCTGAACTCTATGGGAGGCTCAGGGGGTACCTCGCCCCACATGATGACGCCATGTAAGGAGATCATTGTCAAATTCTTTCTGCTGTAAGCACTCAGTTTGCCCTCCGAAACCGTCTCGCTACCCAGACGCCCGGGGTTGTCCGATAGTGTGGGAGTCGCCGCTCGATTACACTATCTGTACTATACTACACGGTATCATACAAAAATTTATGTTATGCTACAAACATGGTACTATACCATGTACCGTACTATGACTATGTTACGCAAGATATGCCACCCACTCACAGGATCGTCCGCGCGAGGGCGAAAGGCATCCTCTGCAAGCACCAGCAAGTGAAGGCCTGCTCCACATCCCAAGCCTCATAGGTAGTTCTTCAAACCAGGGTCCCTTTGCCGTACTAGTTCGGGGACCTGGAACGGGACCCAAATTGAAAGAATTGCCCAAATAAAGTTAAAGCTTTCGGGGTTCAGGAATTCGGGTTTAGGGGGTGTGAGGCTAAGGCTTTGGGAGTTTAGGATATCGAGGTTGAGGGTTTAGAGGTGCTGGCATTCAGCAATCAGGTGCAAAGGGTTTTGGCTTCTTCAGGGTTAAAGGTTTCGAGGGACTGTGGCGTCCCTACTGTGCACATAACAGCTTAACAGTTGCAACGTTTGACTCAGTAGTGCATGTGAGAAACCTGGTGAACATGAACAGCTTTCTTAAAATATCTACATCATTTCATTAGGGTTCTTCATAATATACGAGCATACACCCCAAAACCCTATTCTAATCATCAAGGCCCCTATATGCCGTTCCGAAGCCCCGGCCTCGGCAGCCAAAGGGCTGATAAGCAACCCGGATTTGGGGACTCATAGCAGCAAGTACCCGACTTACGAAGTCCTATGATCCTCAAAGTACTCCTTAAAATTGCCCCTAAAACTTGTAGCAGGACCCGTGCCGGTACCCCCGGTCACCAGAAAACGTCTTGAACTTCACCCTTGAGCCACAAAGCCCGGTTTCAGGCCCATTTATCCTGAAACCTACATTTTGGAAACCGCTTCAGGAAACCTGCGCCCGGAGCCCTGAGTCGTAATGAAGGCCATTAGAGTTTAGAGGCTTGGTAATGTAAGGTTTAGGGGTGCAGGGTTTCCAGTTGCGCAAAGAGTTTTCGGGGCTTAAGCCCGAAAGCTTTGCAGCCACACACTACTCTTGAGTTCTACTGTCCTCGCGCTCCACATCTTATAGAGCCCTGGAGCCTTAAACCTGAGCCTCAATGGCCTTAAACCTGAGCCTGAGTGAACTCATGTTTGAATTGAACCCACAGCCATAAATACAGCCATGTTAAGAAGCCCGGTCCTCTGGAGCCTCGGACTGGAAAAAGCCTCCTCAACCCCTAAGCCCCTAAGCCCTAAGAGTGGCACGGCCAAAAACTCAATACAGTTGAGCAACAATGAAAGCGAAGATAATGTAACAGTGACGAACAGAAGCTACCGATTATAATGCGAAGCAGCCACACCGAATACAAATGAGTTGTTACATTGTTACAAGTGGTAAAAAGTAGCCATTCAGGAATACAGACAAGAATCATAAACAACAAAAGCCAGGAATGGTCTGGCAGTGGCTTCCCTACTCGCCTGGCGGGCCTCCGCTACACTCGCCGGGCGAATTCTCGGTACCCATTGATCAAGGCTCCTGATGGGTTTCTAGGATTTCGGATCAGAATGAACGTAAGGATTGTGTATGGTTTCAGGGCGGTATTGTATCTTAGGGTTTAACCTCCTTCTAAAATAGGATGGTCAGATGTGACGTTCCAGCATAAAGTTCATAGTCCTACGAGCTGTACGAGGTGGTTGAGCCTTGTGGTGTTCAATCATGGGGTTCAGCGTCTCGGATTAGGATTGTTAGGATCGCGAGAGAGGTTGAGTATGGATGTCTCGGGGTTTGCTGGTCTTCTATCACGGGGTTTAGTGCGTACCTGAATCGTATTAAGGGTCAACCGGTTTCCACGGGCTCTCACGGGGGTTCATATGCGTTGTTTAGGGGTTCAACTCTGGAGCTGTGTATTTCTGAATTTGGGTGTGGTGTTACTTCGAAATATATCATCGGCTGGTTGGTGGCTGAAGAAGCTAGGGGCTGTTATGTTGTATCTCTACCATGCAGTGGAAGCAGTTGCCATCGAACTGGTCTTGCAAGGCATTCTTTCGAAGCAATTTTGTTTTGTCTTGTTTGCGATCGTAGGTTGCGGCCGCTGCCTAAACTACCCAACCTTACCCTCAGCCGCTGAGCTTTTGCAACCGTGGAGACTTGAGTCGGACGAGATCCGTGTGCGTCGCAGACAGGGAGGCTGCCAAAGCAGCATAGTCGAACAGCGTATCGCAATGTATCGCAGTGTAAGTGGAGTATACGTAGAGCTCGAATTCAGAGAGACGCATGATAACGCCGATCAGGATATAAATACCGCTCCACCCATAGCTGAATTATAGTGTGTGTGTGTGTGCGTGCGTGCCATGATCCGGTAAGTCCTACACCCTAAACAGGACAAACACGGTAAACGACCTCCATCACTGCACAAATGGAAACGCCCATAGTACTCATGCTACCTCAACTTTGATCCGTCCGGCCGAGGGTAAGTCACCTCGAAATTGAAGACCCTGTGACCATGTTTTGCAAGTATTTAGGTCGTTTAGGGTTATGTAAGGAGTTCGAGCGACATGGAGTTAGCGTTAGGGGTTTGGAGTTTTCGGCCGAACGCTTGCAAATTGTTAGATGTAAGGAACCCCAATAACGACCCAAAGGTTTCTACATTACTATAGTACCCTGTAGGAACCCTTATAGACCCCCTTTAGAGGCAGTCATAGAGTGCGAGATGGGTCCAGGCGAAGTAGATGCCATCCTCGCAGCCGCGGAGAAGGGGCAACCAGCCACTGCATCCCGAATCTTTGTGGAGTTGTTAGGCTTTCTCTTGACGGCTAATAACCGCCAGTCTGAATCACTCGGCACCTGAGCTGTTTAAATCAGGGCCATGTGCAATCAGCCTGTGGGTGCTTTCTGAATCTGGGATTCCCTTCTTTGGGACTGCTTGATATTGCTTGCCCATGCTGCTCTGTCAGCACTATACCAGGTTTGTCAGAGAGGATTTTGACACCTTGGTCTGCCTTCTTCCTTGACGCCTTCTGGAGATTTCTGGGTCGGGAAGTAGTGCGGCATGCCTACGAGAACTTTGCACTAAGGTGCCCGTCTTCACGAAGGATGTTTCCAAAAGCAAGGCGGCAACTTCGGAGGCTTTCCTCCGCAAGAAGGAGCTGACTGCTCAAACACCAATTCGCCAGTTGGAGTTGGAGTAGTAGTGGGCCCTCCGTTGAGTCTTCGTGCCGGTCTAGGTGGGAACATGCTTGCATTTTTCGTATCAGATCTGGTTGAGATTCCTCTAACTGCTGTCTTTGTGCGAACTACATGTAGATGCTTTGACATACGAGCAGGAGGAAGGAAACGCATTGTTCAAGGCTGGCGACTACCTCAAGGCGAGATGCGACATCCGTAGTGCCTCGCCATCTGGCGAGACTGCCCTTGCATAACCTCACATTGACACAGATCAGCTCAATGCATGACTTCAGCCGGTAAAACCCCTTTGCTATTCCAGTCGTTATCAACTGCATGGCGAAACCTCCCACTAAACCTTCAGTTTTCAGCCGGTATCGTAGGCTGGTCTTGGGGCGAAGGTTTCAAGCTATGCCAAATGATGACAAGAGCTTCAGCTTTGTTCTTCCATGCTTGGACCTTGCGCACACACACCTCTTCCTTCTGTGCATGGAGCCAGCCGATTTTGGCGTCTCGCCCGGCACGACCAACAAATCTCAAAGGCCTTTCGAAGAGAGTCCAGACAATCCCTACAATAGGTATAGTTATGTAAGTACACCCAAAGCCTTGCTCTGTCTTACGCTCGTTTGCCATGTCCCGAAGATTTCGAGAGCCCTCTGGCAGGCTGTCCGGGCCTATGACGCCGCGCTCGCAGAACCTTGTTGCGATGGAGACGCCTCGATCGCGCAGAGTAACGCTGCACAGGCTTATGCTTCAGAGCTTTGGGTGGTGGTCTATGCCCCTGTCCCGGAGAAGAATGGGTTCAGCCAGAACCACCTTTGCTTTTGCTAGTGAACGATGCTGACTTGAGTAATGAGCAGCCCTGCTTGGAATGAAGAACATGTGCACCTGGATGCGGCGAGCGGCATTCCTAGTTGGGGCCTCTCTTGCACAAGAAGCGTCTGTTTCTTCTGGAGAGATTCTGTGTCGTCGAGATTTTCAATCTTGCGGTTCTCAAGACCGAAACGTGGGTTCCCGCGTCCTGGAGGCATTGCTGAAGCTTGCCGGCGAGGCGATGGGATTCAGTTTGTATAGGGGCCGGAAGTACTAGTATTGTTACCCTATGGTTTGCGGGACCTTACTATTGTCCTTAAGGGGTCTAGGGCCCAAATTATAAGGTCCTTGGAAGCATAGGGTTAGAGTATGATATGCCCCAAAACCTTATTCTTAAGGCATGCCTTAACTTCGGGGTCCCCGTAATCAGGAGCCTGCCATATCGGATCTGTACAGAGGTCCCCTCGGCGACGGCATGTGATCAGTCTTCTACATGCGTGTTTCATAGAACAGTAGTGGGAGGTTTCATGTTGCCGCACTTGTAGTCAGAATGCCGCCATTCATTGCGTGTAGATCAGGGCCCCCCATGTTTGACACTCCCATGCCGCTCCTGGCGTGCCCAAATTGCTGATTCGAGCCTCGTCTGCTATTGCATACTGCAGAATCTGTTTTGGGCGAAACAGGATGCGCGTGTCGGTACTTTCATGTACATCACTTTTGTCCAGTTCCCTTCTTGTACATGCTCCTCCTTCTCTCATACTCTCAGAGGAAGCTTGCTCAATTCAAAAAGTGGGTGTGGACATTGTGCAGTTTAGGGTTTGGGGAACAGAACAGAGATAGAATGCTACACTCTAACTCGCTAGCTTACCACTTTCAGATCCTTTCGATTACTTCTACCCTCGGGACTGCCACGCGGGAGCCATCACTACTCGTACGGTACAAAAGGTATCCTCGACCCATGAAGCCGGCACTGACGTGCGTGGACGGCTTCGGGTTTAGAGTTTCGATTCTGAGTTGAGGCACCCTCAGGGCCCAACAAAGCCGAAGCATAAAAGTCTGCACTTCTGAATCACGCAACTCCTCATGTCGAACACATTCGAAGCTGGTCCGTGATGCATTGTATTCTGTGCTTAAAGCCACGCAGCGCCACAGGCTTCTGGTGAAGCGGCGCGCGCTGCAGCCGCCGAAGCCCTGCGCCGGGCACGGGAGGTCACGGCCGGATTCTCTGTTGTTGTGTTTTTTCACCGCCAGTGTTGCTGTCCACCCTTGCATGATGACGACCTGGCGATGCAGCAGAACACCAAGAGTAGAATAACAACCGCCACCACCACGGCCACCATCTGCCCGATGACGTTCACCAGGACTACCTTCACGGGGACCTTGTCCACTTCTCTGCAATCTTGCGCTTGTTCAATGGATGCTGCTCCTGCTTCTGCTGCCCAGATCCAGATTGATGCACCTGCCATTAAGGCTTCGTTGGTTGATGCACATGTGCATCTCTGTGCCTGTGCGCATCAGTGCATGGACATTCTGTATGGTCCTATATATCCAAACTAAAAACTGGCCACGATGCGTTTCTGCCAAGAGTTGATCAGTCTGCCAGGCCATCTCCAAGGATAGCACCAATGCCAAGGCAGAATCCGTTCGTGAATCTGTTCGGCAAACAATCAGGTCGAAGGACTCAAAGGCTTTCTTTCTCTCCCTGCCTTCCCTCCCTGCCATCTCTTGCCGTCTGCAGGCCTTCGCCAGGTGTGCTGCTGCCTGCGACATACTTGGTGAAGCGGAGGCAGGAGGATTTTCTGCCCGAAATCTTTAGTTTTCTGCCCGAAGTCTGTAGTTGCCTCAGTTCTGCATTTCTGTAGGGTTTCGCTTCGGCTGCCAGACTGCTGAGGCGTAAAACTGTTCCTGGACGCAAATCGGTCCGAGATCAAGAGTAATCACACGAGACCCTTGGCAAGGCATAGAGTTGCCTTGAGCATCTTGCATGCGCACGCGGCAATCAGCAGCATGACCGTAACCATGCCCTAGCCACTCAGCCGGCATAACCGAAACATCGAAAGCGCGGCTTATAGGAAGAAAGCTTGCAAATGCGACTCGGGTGGACCTTTTTACCTCTGTTGCCAAGCTCCTGCGGGAATTGGTGGTTCACCGGCCTGCGGTAGTAGTTGGCCGAGGGCAGGGGGCGGTTGTGGTTCTTGCTGCCTCGAAACCTTTGGTAGTAGAGGCAGTGCTCCTGGCGCCTCTTCCAAGGTCAGCTCGGGGTGTGCTCTAGGTTTGGCTAGAGTGAACTCTCTTGCAGCCTTTGCCCTCCGGCTGCCCCTGCGCACACTGAGCATCGATGCCCGGAAGTGGCGAGAGCCCCAAATACTGCGATATTTGATCCCACTCGGCGGAGGCCGCAGCCGAATTCCGCGGTCATGCCGCGAGGTGTGAGGCCGCGGCACAGGCGCGACCAAGTGTTCAGCTTGATGATGCGTGATTGTTTTACGGTGTGGGCACTCTGTGAACCATCAGGGTTTCGGGGTAGGTTCACTCGTGAGATTTAGGGCGTCGGCTCTTGATGTTTCACAGAAGTTTGGGATCAGAATAGCGAGGAAGCGTCCCTTACTGCAACGTCTTCCTCATATTGCTCTGACGAGTAGTACTAGTGTTTGCGTTCAATGCATACTGCTAGCATCCCGAGTTCCTCTGACCGCATGTATTGCAAGTACTGCGTTCTATTAGAAGGCATACTTGAGCTTGCATAGCTTGCCATATGCATATCACATCAGGTGCGATTTCATACGGTATAGTCTCTTCTCTATAAGTTGATGTCGTTGTCTAAGGTTCGGGGGCCGAACTCGACCACTGCGTTTTGCGCAGTTCAGGTCCGCCTTCCCCACGACATCACTATCAACTCTGGCGCTTAGGGGCGTTGTCGTAATTCGAACCCTAAGAAACACCAGCCCCTTTCCTTTCACAAACCTATAAAACCCAATCTAAAAAAACAAAAAACAAAAACAAACAAAACCAAAAAAAAACAAAAAATCAAAAAAAAAAACATTATTTCAGTGCTCTTCCAGAATAACATTAGAAACACACACGAATGGGAGAGTTCTGAAAGAATGTTTTTTTGTTTTTTTTTGTTTTTTGTGTTTTGTGGTTTTGTTTTGTTTGGTTTTTTTGGTTTTGTTTTTTTGGTTTCGATGCTTTGAGACACATTGGCTACGTGACAGACAGTTCAATGAATCGCTGCGCGTTCCAAAAGAAGCCGATGCGTGTCAGTCGTGTGCTGCATCACATATATCGCTCATGCATCACTGGTCTCACTCATGCCGTATACAGTTTGTGATTCGCGGTGTTCCGTACTCAAGCCTAGTATAACCTAGTTCTACTTTCCGGTGACTCATATCTGCACAGCAGTCGCGATTCATGACAAGCTTCCGGTGGCCTCCTCAATACTTATTAAACTATCTTGGTTGGAAAGGACTGTAGTGATACAAAATGAAACTAACGTGCAACCTCTCACCAACTGAACTAGTATCATTCCAACCACTATATTAAGTAATCTCTTTAGTCTTGTACTCTACTAGGCTTAAACATGAGAACCACTGGGATGTAATGATGTAAGCCTTCACATAACATCACTAGAACACACATGAACAATTTAGACAACTTGATTTGTATTAACCTCTACACACAGCTAACCCATTCATGCCAATGCCACTACCTATAGCTGTTCATCTAGTGTTAGTAAGTCATTTTAATACAGCACAAGACAATACACATAATAGTCCTAATGGGGTAGCATTGATTGTACTTAATGGTAAGACATAATGAAAAAGTGCAACAACATAATAAGAGCCATGAAAATCTATATCAATAGCAGCACTAATTACCAAGTATAATACCGGTTGAACCACCTATTGTAAACAGACTATATGAAAGATATACTATAACAGTTAACATTAGTTGTGAAATAGTATCAGTAGACATGCATTACTTGTCCAGGGATGTAGAATACCAACTACATGATCGTAACGAACAAGTTGGTAATGTTCATATAACCAATGTATTAACCTGTAAAGTTAGCTCTTGCATCACTGTTGCATACTAGTTGTAAACATATGATGTGTCCAAACTAATTTGTCCTAATAGACAAAGACAACTCATAGCCTCATAGCTCAGGTTGTCCGATTATAGACAAGTTAACCAAAGACACTAAACATGCAATAAGCCAGCTATTGTTAAACTATTGATTATCGAATGCTGGAAGGGTAGACTTCTGGATTCCCAAAGAACAAAACCAAACATTGATAGAACATAGCATCACCTCCAAATATGAACCAAATGCTATTGTATTACGTGCATATCTGTTAATAACCTTAATTAATGAAGCATCGCACCTGTTAAGATTGGTAGAACTATAAATAAGATAGATGATGTAGTCCTAACTGATCTAGTTGTATGTTGGTTATGTAGCTTAACATCAACCTAATGATTGCACAATGTGACAAGTATTACAGAAAACATATAGATGTTAATGTTGATGACAGAGCTGATATAGTTAAACTATAGACAATAAGATTGATACCGCGCACATACACACACACACACAATTCTCAGCATATTCCTAAAATATGCAAAACGCAGCGGTCGACTTCGACCCCGTAACCCGTTGTTCATAATGTCTTCTCAATGTATCAACTCACATGCTATGCTGTTCTAATGCACTAATAACGCATACAAGAGTCTATAGCCTAATTATAGTGAAAGGGCATACATAAATCGATGGATCTATCTATCTATCTATATGCGCGTGTGTGCATGCGCGTGTTGTGCAATAAGTGCGCCATGTTGTGTGCTGTGCGCGCGTTCTTCCTTCCATATACGTGCTGCAGGCCACGAGGAATCAGCGGAAGGCCGAGGAAGAGCAGAGGCAGCTACAGCCAACGCCCGATGGGGATGTAAGACCTTCCGAGCCAAATTCTCCATTCAGTGTGGGACAGAGTTTAGTTCAAGATCATCGTGTCTGTCAGAACATGGCACGGAAGTGCATCTGCGTGCCTCTGAGCATTGCTCTTGCAGAGGATGGATTTCGCCACGGTTGAGTCCTTCCCCACACTCATGCACCCAAATAAGGATCCTTTAAGGGATCATTTAACGGCTCCTTTACGGGATCTATAAGGGTTTTATTCACACTCTCATTGCTGCTAGGCAAGAGGCCAGACGTCAGCAGCGCGAGAAGCTTGCTGCTGGCCAAGAGGCCATTATGTAGGTCGTTAGGTCCCCATGGGGGCCTGAATAGTTAGAATAGGGATTCATTGGGTCCTTTTAAAGGGGTTACTATAAAGGGATCTATAGGGGTACTATGATATAGGCGCCTCAATAATTAGAATAGGCTTCCTTGAAAGGGGTCTATATAAGGGCTACTATAAGGGGTCTATAAGGGTAGTACAACAGAGGCGCCTTAATAATTAGAGAAGGGGTTCCTTTCCTTTGGAGGGGTCTATAAGGGCCATTACAAGGGATCTATAAGGGTACTATAATATAGGGGCCTTAATAATTAGCGTAGTGTTTTAGGGGATCTTACGCTAGAAGCATAATAAGGAACCCCCAAATTAGCATTGGTACTTGCTAAGGCCCCTGTATTGGGTCATTAGATCCCATGATGACCAAGGGCCCTTTCCTCATATTGCTTCTTTCGCTACCGTTTGTGCAGACTAGCGGGGCGGCTCTCAGACTCCAACAAGCGGGGCCGCGTGACCTCTCACAGCCCTCAACATTGCCACAGAGCATTGACATCGTTAATGTTACAGCCTCTATCCCCAAGCACTCCTAACATCCGAAGAAAAGTGCCGTCAATTCAACCTGCTACGGTTTCTTTCGTCGGAACTGGGACTGAATAACGCAACTCGCCAGACCGAACTGAAACATGTTCGCACTCCGCAAAAGAATGATTATTGATGCTGCTGGGAGCTTGCTTCCGTGAAGACGGCATTTACTCTCACCAGGGCACCGGCAACACTTCACTGTATCTGCTGCTTCTGTTCCTGATATCGCTTACTGTTAATCTTGAAGTTGGTCATGACATCTTATGTTTGCGACTCATGCCCTCAGGCAGAGCGCCGTCGTGAGGAGCTGCTGGAGCGCGAGCGCAGAGAGGAGGCCCTGCGGCAGGCAGCAGAGGACGACGGCAAGGCTGCATCACGGGCAGTTGAAAGGAGAGAGGGTTGGGTTTCGCGAATGAGGTTTCGGGGTTGTTCGGGGCTGATTGTTGGATGGTGTTTTTGGGCTGGCGTGTCGTCCCGGATCACGGGCAAGGCCTGAGATTTGAGGACTGAATGCATTCGCACTTGGTACCTTCGGTACCGTTGTTTCTGCAAAGGGCTGGTGCCATGTGTTTGGAAAATAGCTCGAATTCTTTGCATCCCACCGCAGCTCATTGGCCCATACACCCGTGGAAGGGAGATGGCAAGCAGCGGTTACAAGAGTGACGGACGCCGATGGCTCCTATAGGGTCGAGCCGTTGAGCAAGTTCGACGCCTCCTCCAGAGCGAAGTGTTATTCCCTATACTTTGATATGTCTGACAAAAGGCATCTGCAAAGAGTCGGCTCTGGAGGAGAGAGGTTGCGAGTGAAGGCCTGAAGTCAACAACGAGTTTTCCCGTCATCCCCGGAGTGGTTATGATCATGTGAGAGCCCTTCACGGATCACATGGAGTTCTGCAGATAAAACTCGAGAAGAATCCGCACACCGAGCAACCTGACGCAACTGGCCAGGTCGATGCCACTGCCGGGCGGCTCTCGGCGCGGCTTGGCAAGCAACCTCAGGCTAGAAGGCAAGGTAGGTGAAAGAGACACGAAAGTTCTGGTAACCAGACGAGCTCTGTGTCATCTTGATGGTTAATGTGTGGCTCATCCTAGTGCGGGTTCCCTAGATCGGGGCTTATCAACATGTGTAACGATCATGATGCACCTGTGGATGTTCTCACGGGAGCAGGGAAAGACCTGCCTGACACGTTTATTTACAGAAGCATCAAATCAGTATCAAGCAGTCCAGTAGCCCCAAGTCTCTGGCCGCGAGCAGACCACAATAGTACAAACTTAGAGCCTTAAAGCCCTGAACCCTCAAGGCCTACCGTACCCCCATAGCAGTCTTTGAAGTAGCCGGCCCTTATCAACTACACCGAAACTCTCAACACGATAAAATGGTGCAGGATGCTTGGCCTCGATGCTAACCTTGCTAGCCTGGGCAGCTGTGCAGCAAAAGCTTGTGGTTTAGGTTGTGGTGTTTAGGGTTGTCTGCAGCTCCGGTGCCGGGTACGTGATGCATTCACTTCCGACGGAAGGTGGTTTGGAGGCGAGTTCTTGCATTCCTGTTTGGATGTTCGAACCCTGCCTCCTGAAGCACACACAAGGCGTGAAAGCTACAGGGTGCGTTGGACCAGCCTTGAGTACCTTAACCACTGCGGCCGGAAGCACTGTCCGAAAGTCCAAGCCCTAAGCGCTTGCGCACCCAAGGCAGTACTACTAGGTTGACAAGCCTTGGAGCTAAAGCTTCGAGAGCTTCAGTCCCGTTGCTCAGGAAGTGCTTGATCCAGGAGAACCTGGATCATGTGATATCCAGAGATTTGCCTCCACCTGGGCATAGATAGGCTTACGATTTACAAAGACTTGGGTTGTCTCCCAGAGCTCCTTCACTGGCGGATTTGAGAACGGCTAGCAAGCCTGAGAGACCCCACGCGCACGTCTCACCGAAAGTTTTGAGCTTCGCCCACGTCTCTGCTTCCTTCTTTGCTTCTTTACCCGAAGATTTGCTCACATGCAGCATACCATTTAGCCATCCCAGGCGGTCATGTTCAAGAAGAACGAAGAAATCAAGAAGTTGTACCAGTCGCCAGTCGACCCTAGAGGCCCTAGAGGTGCCAAGACCAGAGTTGGTGGCTCTGCTACATGTTCTTGGCTAAGTTTCAACATGGACAGAGCGTGGGCCAGGCATCACAAGCACGCTGCTGAAAGCTGGCAGGGTACGTGCAATGGCGCACCGAAGCATAGGGGAAGAATTCGCAAGTGCCATCCAAAAGTTGAAAAGGCCACTGCAGCTGTTGATGAGGTTACTGGTGCTGCAGGCAGGCCTATGTAGCTAAGGACACTGCAGCCGATGAGTACATCTGTAGACTGCTGAACTGCTGCACAACGACTACAACCCCAGACCTGCCATAAACCGGCACGTTTTTAACCTCAATCCCTCAACGCTGAAACTCTAACTTGCAAGCCTCCAAAAGCTCGTGGGATGAGTTGGCTACAGCTTCGTAGGCAGAAGACATGAATCGATCTCACGGGGTCGGATCTTGAAGCTCGGTGCCCTCAAGAAGAACGACGGATGTTCCCTTGCCATGTCTGTGTGAGCAGTAGCTGGTTAGGCTGATGTACCCCCGAAACTCTGATTATTCAGGCCCGCGCCCCCTGAGACCCCCGACCCGGACAGCAATGAGATTATGATTCAGGGAGAGGGCGAGAGAGAGAGAGAGAGATACATACATACATACATACATACATACATACATATATACATATACATACACGCATACACACACATACAAAATACATTTTGGATGAGCGGATACTGTCATACCGCCGCATGGATTAGTCTTAGCGAGGTACCCAGAATACATACACCCCAACCCCAAACGAACCCTAGCGCCACGACTCGCAGCGTCATGGCCTTGCGATGGCCCTACACATCTTCGCGACATCAGAATCTAAAAACCCATGAGCAATGGATGCAACGACCTGTGGGACGTCTCCCTTCATGACCTGCGAGCCGTCTACGATCCTGCAGCTTCCCTGAAGTTGGTGATGGAAATTCAGATCCCAGCTCGCACCGTTGTGTTAATTTGAGCTGGTCGAAGAACACTTCGCCGTCCTGTTGCAGAAGCTTTGTCAGTGTGTCAATCATCCCAGGCTCGAGAGAAAATGTAAAGGCAAAAAGCATTCTCACGTACATTTGGTGCGATGCAAGACTTCGTTGCTAACCCGCGGAACTTTGAGTAGCCACTTACTGACCGAAAAGGCGAAATGCTTCATGAGAAGCCGAGCTTCTCTTGCGTCCCAGATGCGTGTGTGCACTGACACGCTTTTGTATGTGTGCACAAGTATTCATATGTGTGTGTGTTTACATATGCATGCAGTATAGAGTCAAATATGATTACATGTACATATTTTGTGTACGCATTCATGCACGTCATACTTTGGGTCTTATTAGAAAGGCTGGAGCCGATTTGCAGAAAAGGCACATTTGGGACCCCAAACCCTAAACCCTAATAAACTGAGAGCCCCAACACCTGCCTGCACGGTCATCGTCAATGCTGGCTTGCCTCCGAAATCGAAGTGTGAGGGCTTCCGCTTACAAGGCCGGCCCTAAAAAAAACCGAAGTCTTACGCCCTAGCCGAGGAGATGCACCTGTCCATGCTTAGAGATTGCCGGCGGCATGAATTCTATGACCAGTGTCTGGCGAGATGCATCAACGAGTTGCGGGGCAAGGTGCTGCGAGACAGCCAGTAGAAAGGTCTGCAATCGGTGTTGAGGTAGCGCTGCTCAGAGCCAACACAACCTTCATCGTTCCACTAGGACAGGATACAAATTAACGACCATACTTGCAAGCGAGCAGGCTTCCCCCTTATAGAACAGGTATACAGCAGGCCCGTCAAGTCTTGGCAATTTGAATTTCGTTGAAGTTTTGTCTTGAAGCAGATGCAGAGGCATCCTTGCCAAGTCATGAAGATCTGCAGCTTTTCCTTCAGAGAACGGCACCAGTCCTGCAAAGTCGTAGATATAGAGTCTATGCCAGGTCGTCATCGATGTTGGCGCAGGGACGGGTATCCTGTCTGCCCTTGCAGCCAGAGGACCGCGAGCCTGTAAGAGATAAGCAGGTGTCAGAGGGGGGCTTAGGACATGATGACGAGAACTCTTCCTTAAGCGTCCTTGCTTCGGATTTCTGGGTTGTCGACCCGAGAGCACCCATGGCCGCTAACCAGCAGCTGTCGAAACCGATTTCGGGAGAGAGAGAGAGAGAGAGAGCGAGAGAAAGAGAAAAAGACAGAAAGACAGAGAGAGGGAGAGACCCGAAAACCTCTTCCAGTTACTGAAGCCTGTTCGAGTCCAGGAAAGAGCATTGGGCGCATTTCTCTGCTTTAGTGTTTTTTTGCTTCGGACCGGTCGAGCCGCATGGTCTCCGTGGTCAAACCTCGGTGTTCTAGACGCCGGCAACAACGTTGAAGAACGTCTTGGTCTTGGAACCTTCCACAACGAGAGAGCAGAACTATGAGAGAGCTTCCTGCAGAGTCGTTGTGACCCAGCGAGTGTTGACCCCGCTAAATTGAGCTGCAAGATTGGACTTTGGCAGGTGGAGCTGCCGAAGTACACGCTGTAGAGGCCAGGGTGGCTACCCTCGAGTCGCGATTGAAAGATTGATTGGTGGTGAAGTCTTCCTGGCAGTGTCGGTCATTTGTAAGGCGGCAGCAGAAGCTAATCGGCTCTAAAGCTGGGAGCAGTCTATGTTTTGTGTCCTGACGACCCTCTTACCGCAGTGCTCGCGTTCTGCGCTTGTCACAGTTTTTGTCTTGATTGATCTTCGAACATCGAAAAGCTGCGAGCTCTCGGTTCGGGAGGGAGCGAGGGAGCGAGGGCACAAAGGCAATGAATTGGTAAGTTCGATCTCGGCAGGTTGCTTTCTCGTCGGCGACCAGTAGCAAAAAAACACATGCTACTGACAAGTGCGAGGCCTTACCTGAGCTTTGCAAGCTGATCCCAAAAGTCCTGGCGGGCGCGCTGCCGAAGGAAGAGGCATGCCAAACTGTCTGGTTGAGGTTTCAAGCATTGACTTCTTGGGTTCAGGGCTCAGAATTTTGAATCGAAAGGGTTTGGCTAAGAGTTCATGGCATGCTTCCTGGACAAGGGCTGCTTGAGCATGTCAGCTGCGTGGTTCCTCTTTGAGCAGAGCCTTCCTCTGCGATTTTTCCAAACATGGGACCATAATTTTGATACCAAACTCGCAGGCTCCAGGCATAGGGGTCCCCGAAGGGCACTCGTCATGTGAAGACCCACCTTTTGGATGCGAAAGGATCGGCGCCGAGTCGTCGTTCATTGCGACTTCGTGGAAAATCTGTGCCAGGGGAAGAGCGCTGCATGGCCAAGGAGCGTGGGTTTTGGGGGTCTGGGGCTTTGCATGGGCTTCAGGGTGTAGCAAAAAGATTCTGACTTCTTTTGACCCACCTAATGAAACCCTCTGTAGAGCAATAGTTGCTCAGTTTACTCTCATTTGCAAGGTTGTTCAAAGAGACTCGGAACTTTCAGTTGCACCTGCTGACTTATTCCTCAAAACCCTAAGCCCTAAGAAGGTGCACCGGTTCTGCTCACAAAGCTCCTCAGCTTGTCCTGAACCCCAAGCCATCAGCTTCACAAGTTTAGACATATATCATACTCCGGTATAGATGTGCATTGCAGGGCTCTTGATGATGGCACGGCAGAGAGAGAGAGAGAGATAGTAACAGAAAATACAACATAATACCGTATGATATGCCATTGGTGAACCCAGCAGCAAGAAGTGATCATGGACAGCTCTGCTCCCGAGCAGTGGATGTTATCTGAACTATCCACGCTTGTCCTTGTACGCTCTAATTAGATCTAACTAGTATTTCGGGCTTTCAGAAACCTGTTTACCTAGAATCAACAATACTTGTTTTTAATGCACGTCCTGCTGCAATTGTCGGGCCAGGAACGCAGACGTCGTTGTTTCAGCACTTCGCCGGCAGACCTACGAGAATGAAGCAATGCCACGGTTGCAACATGCAAACTAGCCTATGCTGGTAGACCAGATCTCAAGTTTTGCTTAATTTACAAGGAAGGCACAGTGAAGCAGTGTTGCAAGGACCTTCAACGGCTGAGTTGCTCCAATCCTCACCCCTTCCAATCCAAGGCAGATATCCCTTTCTAGCGTCTAGGGTTTCGTCGGTTTTGCTCTCGAACCTCAGCAACAAGAGGGCGGGCCCAAGAAGAAAGCCTTACGCGCCAAGCCCGATGAGCCTTGAAGTGCCGCAAGGCCCGAACTCGAAGCCTCTAAGCGGCTACTACAATCCCCTGAAGCCCACATTGTGACCCTGAACCGCTAGTCTTGCGCAGGATTAAACCCCAAACTCTGGGCAATCGCCAGCAAGCAAGCTTACTTGTTCCAGCCCAAACCCTGCATCAATGTCATCAATTACCATTACTAGTTATTGTTATTGTTTCTTGTTATGATTCCGTTATTCTTATTGCTGCTGATTTTGTGATAATTCTCCTCCTTGTTCTTCTCTTCTTACTGTCATTACTATCACTACTATTGTTATCACATGATTGTTATTGTCTTGACGTAAGGAGTGGCTGGGAATCCTCGGCCTCAACGAGGGGATGGCTCTGCCCCTGCTGCGCTGCCGGGATTCCTTCAACCCGAGGCAGAGTCGATGACCAGGTTACGGCTTCCTATTAGGAGGGTTTAGAGTTTAGGGTTTGGAAAGTCTGGCTAGATTTGCGTCCAGCCCCAAACCCTATTCTGATTGTAAAGCCCCCATACCGCGAACCAAGCCCTGCACATAAGTCGCCTCTAAACCCTAAACACTTGAGATCCGACCAGGTTCCACCATCAGATGACGTGTTTCACGAAGCCAACACTGCAGCAGCCAAGCATCGTTGAGCAGTGTCGATGGTCTACAGGTACCTGAACCGTCCTGCCCTGTAGCTTAACTTCGTTTAAGTGTGTGAATCTTCCGACCTGCTGGAGAGAGCTTATGAGCAGATTCCTCGAACTAGCTTGTGAATCGTTTGTGAGCAACTGGTGCGCGTGAAGACTCGCATGGTGGCTGATTGGTTGCTGTTGTTGCGTCACCCAAAGGACATGTTCCTCGCCTGGCGAGTCCGAGCGTCAGAGTATGAGCACCGAAACCCTACAGTATAGACGAAAGATTTATGTAGGGTTCGGAAGTCAGAGCCGGATGCTGTTTAGCTCTTTTCTCCCCGGAGCTTTTATGAGATCGCATAAAAGCCGACACATGCAGATACAACTATAGCGCAGAGCTCGGGCTCAGAGCTGGAACTGCCGCGGCTGACATCTAAAACATAACCTTTGGATTGCGGGGCGTAAGGTGTATATCAGAGAAGGATGTAGGACTCAGCTTTTTGGGGATTTATGGATGTGGGGCTTTACTCGTAGAGGTTCAGGGTATAGCGGTGTGGAGGCCTAATATAATATATTGTATCACTAGACTAATATTATGTAATATTATATTAAGGTACAATATTTTTGTAGTACATTGATCTAATATGATAAGATGTAATGTTATGAGGGACATGCCCCCAAGATCCAAGTGAGAGGCCGCTCATGGTGCCTGGCTTGCTGCGGATCTGGGTTCAAGCGGCGGCTAGCGCTCCAGCTGGGGCAGGCACTGGGCCAGCAATTACATGACATAATATCATATTATATTACTATACTGTATTGTTTGCCAGCATTCACCGCGAAGGGATGTAAACTACTCTTCAGACTGCCTCCTGTACTTCCCGTACGGGTTTGGAATAAACTGCGGTGGTTTTTAGGGCTTGGAGTGGAACAGAAAAGCAGATCGGGCGAACCCCGTCCTAGCTCGGATTCGGAGCCAGTTGTAACCGATATGCTGCTCAGTCGCATGTAGGGTACGAGGTGTGGGATGATGTGCCCAGTTGCCTGTCAGTCCGCAATGGTTGAGAGGTGAAGATCTGCGTAACGTTGCATCGCTGTGGCTTACGAAGTTTGAACAAGCACACCGCACATGCCATCCACTGCAGGACGGCGTTGCGGCCCACTAGCAGCTTGTCCGGGTGTTCGCAGGGCTTAGGGTTAAGGGCACTTCAGAGGGTGGGCGGACTCACTGGCTGACATTCAGAGGCCACTTTGCAAAAAGGTCAGAGCTTCGCGGCAGGAAGCAGTACAGTGCGGTAGTCACAACCGCATTGCGCTGGTACGAACTAGTGATGCGACTTCAACTCATCTCGCTCAACAAAGCTCGAGTGCTTCGGAGGGACAGGACACAGCCCCTCTTTTCGAAGCTTTTTGAGGCACATGTGTTGAAGCAGCTAACTCCGTAATGTGGCGGCCCGTTTAGGAATATGCGCCTATTTAATGCGTTTTCGGCCGGCTAATTTTTCAGCCGGTATGCGTTTTTGTTGGGCTGGGGGGAATTTTGGGGGCGACTTTCTGCTGATGGTCAATCTTAAGGCACCCACGACCTGGGGGGGCTGGAGCTGGCTTTATGCTTTGCTTAATTATTGGGGGAATGTGCTCACAGGCTTTATGCTTTGCTTATTGGGGGAGCGTGCTCGCTGGCTTTATGCTTTGCTTATTGGGGGAATGTGCTCACTGGCTCTATGCCTTGCTTGTGGGGGAGTGTGCTCGCACGACTGCTGTACTATTGCTGGACTATTGCTGCACTACTACTGTACTACTACGGCACTACTATTGTACTACTGTACTAATATTGTACTACTACTGTACCACTACTGTATTACTGCGGTACTACTACTCTTACACGAAAAGGGCTCAGACGTGTTCGATTGTGGACGGAAGTCTAGGTTGGAGGCAACAGTGTTCGAAATGAAGGGTTTTTAGTCTTGGTAGTGATCTTGGAGTGATCGGGGTTTCGGTTTCCAGCTCTTGGTGATCCCCAAACCCCGCTAAACGGCCAGGTACTCTTTAGTACTACTGCACTACTACTGTACTACTATTGTACTACTACTGTACCACGTACTGCTGTACTAGTACTACTGTATTATGATTTAACTACTACTGTACTACCATTGTACAACTGTACTGATACTGTACTACTGCTACTACTGTACTACTACTGTACTACTACTGTACTACTATTGTACTACTACTGCACTACTGCTGTACTACTATTGTACTACTGTACTATTATTGTACTACTACTGTACTACTACTGTACTACTACTGTACTACTACTGTAATACCACTGTATTACCACTGTACTACTACTTTACTACTACTGTACTACTACTGTACTACTACTGTTGTACTACTCCTGTGCTACTACGGTACTACTACTGTACTACTGCACGACTACTGTATTACTGCTGTACTACTGCTGTACCGCACCAAGCCTCAGACGTGGTCGATTGTGGAGACCCCGACCGCGCATTCGCGCAGAACCGCAGACCCTGCACCCAAGCCAGTCCCCAAACGCCGGCACCTCCGAATTCCCTGCCATCCAGACCCTGACCCCGGTCCGAAGGGTCACTGACACCAAACTATTCAAGCCAAACTTTTGGTTGGGGGGGCCCTTAGTATTCGGGCCGCAACATCACCAGGACACCCAAAGCTTCTCCCTGCCTCCAAAAGCCAAGGCAGGTAAACTCAGAAGCTCGAAAGCCCAAAAAAACTCGCCACCCTGCAGGCCAAACCCCGAAACCCCGAACACCTCCTTACGCGCGGCTTGCGCTCAGGAAAGCCCTGGGAGGTAACCCTTATTGCTCTTTTTGAATGATAAGGAGCTCTCGCCTTTTGCCGCATCTCTGATAGCTTGTCCGTCGAATGATTGGGTGCTCTACATTCACCCGGCAGGGCTTGGGGCGAGTCAGCTCGAAACAATGTCCAGCTGATGCTGGTGATGCCAGCCCTGCCTTTCGCTGAACTCATTGCCCTGCTCTACATCCACACGGCCGGAAACGCAGGAAGCAGCTCAAAACCATTTCCAGCTGATGCTGATGATGCTCGCCATGCTGGTTGCTGAAATTCGTCCAGTAGTTGGGTCGAACTGATTGCCCACCTCTACATTCACACGGCCGGAAACCGGGGGAAGCAGCTCAAAACCATTTCCAGCTGATGCTGATGATGCTCGCCATGCGGGTTGTTGAAATTCGCCCAATGATTGGGTCGAACTGATTGCCGTGCTCTACATTCTCACGGCCAGAAACGGGGGAAGCTGCTCAAAACCAGTTCCAGCTGTTACCGATGATGCTCGCCATGCGGGTTGCTGAAATTCGCCCAATGATTGAGTCGAACTGATTGCCCTGCTCTACATTTGCACGGCCGGAAACGGGGGAAGCAGCTCAAAACCAGTTCCAGCTGATGCTGAGGATGCTCGCTATGCGGGTTGCTGACAATGGTCCAGTGATCTACATTCACACGGCCGGGGACGGGGGAAGAAGCTCAAAACCATTTCCAGATGATGCTGATGATGCTCGCCATGCGGGTTGCTGAAATTCGTCCAGTAGTTGGGTCGAACTGATTGCCCTGCTCTACAGTCACACGGCCGGAAACGGGGTGAAGCAGCTCAAAACCATTTCCAGCTGATGCTGATGATGCTCGCCATGCGGGTTGCTAGAATTCGTCCAGTAGTTGGGTCGAACTGATTGCCCTGCTCTACAATCACACGGCCGGAAACGGATGAACCAGTTCAAAACCATATCCAGCTGATGCTGATGATGCTCGCCATGCGGGTTGCTGAAATTCGTCCAGTAGTTGGGTCGAACTGATTGCCCTGCTCTACAATCACACGGCCGGAAACGGGGGAAGCAGCTCAAAACCATTTCCAGCTGATACCGATGATGCTCGCCATGCGGGTTGCTCAAATTCGCCCAATGATTGGGTCGAACTGATTGCCCTGCTCTACACGGCCGGAAACGGGGGAAGCAGCTCAAAACCATTTCCAGCCGATGCTGATGATGCTCGCCATGCGGGTTGCTAGAATTCGTCCAGTAGTTGGGTCGAACTGATTGCCCTGCTCTACAATCACGCGGCCGGAAACGGGGGAAGCAGCTCAAAACCATTTCCAGCTGATGCTGATGATGCTCGCCATGCGGGTTGCTGAAATTCGTCCAGTAGTTGGGTCGATTTGATTGCCCTGTACAAATCACACGGTCGGAAAAGGGGGAAGCAGCTCAAAACCATTCCCAGCTGATGCTGATGATGCTCGCCATGCGGGTTGATGAAATTGGATTTACACGGCCGGGAACAGGGGAAGCAGCTCGAAACCATTTCCAGCTGATGCTGATGATGCTCGCCATGCGGGTTGCTGAAATTCGCCCAATGATTGGGTCGAACTGATTGGCGTGCTCTACATTCGCACGGCCGGAAACGGGGGAAGCAGCTCAAAACCACTTTCAGCTGATGCTGAGGATGCTCGCCATGCGGGTTGCTGACATTCGTCCAACGATTGGGTCGAACGCTCTACATTCACACGGCCGGGGACGGGGGAAGCAGCTCAAAACCATTTCCAGCTGATGCTGATGATGCTTGCCATGCGGGTTGCTTGAATTTCGTCCAATGATTGGGGCGAACTGATTGCCCTGCTCCACATTCACACGGCCGGCAAAGCGTGAAGCAGCTCAGAACCATGACCAGCTGATTCCGATGATGCTCGCCATGCGGGTTGCTGAAGTTTGTCCAGTAGTTGGGTCGAACTGATTGCCCTGCTCTACAATCACACGAGCGGAAACGGGTGAAGCAGTTCAAAAACATGTCCAGCTGATGTTGATGATGCTCGCTATGCGGGTTGCTGAAATTCGTCCAGTAGTTGGGTCGAACTGATTGCCCTGCTCTACAGTCACACGCCCGGAAACGGGGGAAGCAGCTCAAAACCATTTCCAGCTGATGCTGATGATGCTCGCCATGCGTGTTTCTGAAATTCGTCCAGTAGTTGGGTCGAACTGGTTGCCCTGCTCTACAATCACACGGCCGGAAACGGGTGAACCAGTTCAAAACCATTTCCAGCTGATGCTGATGATGCTCGCCATGTGGGTTGCTGAAGTTCGTCCAGTAGTTGGGTCGAACTGATTGCCCTGCTCTACAGTCACACGGCCGGAAACGGGGGAAGCAGCTCAAAACCATTTCCAGCTGATGCTGATGATGCTCGCCACGCGGGTTGATGAAGTTTGCCCAATCATGTCGAACTGATTGCCCTGCATTGACACGGCCGGGAACGGGAGCAGCTCAAAAAAACATCAGCTGGAAATGATTCTGATGACGCTCGCCGCGGGGGTTGCTGTAATTCGTCCAATATTCGGGTCGAACTGCTTGCCCTGCTCTGCACTCACACGGCCGGAAACCGGGCAAGCAGTTCAAAACCATTTCCAGCTGATGCTGATGATGCTCGCCATGCGGGTTGCTGAAATTCGTCCGATGATTGGGTCGAACTGATTGCCGTAGTCAGGTCAAAACCATTTCAAGCTGAAGCTGATGATGCTCGCCCTGGGGCTCGCTGAAACCGCCCAATCTAGCCCTACCATTCGCTCAAACGACCGAACAGGGAAGAATCAGTTTACCACCGTTTCCAGCTGATGATTGGGTCGAACGGCCAGCACCGCTCGATATTCACACGGCCGGAGATGCGAGAATCAGTTCAAAGTGATTTCGCGCTGATGCTGGTGATGCCATCCGTCCAACGATTGGGTCGAACTGCCAGCACCGCTCCCTTTCGTACGGCCGGCGATGGGGAAGTCGGCTAAAACCGATTTCCCTGATGCTGATGGTGGTGATGTTCGCCCTGCAATTCGCTGAATCCGTCCGATGACTGGGTCCAACTGCTTGCCCTGCTTTGTGCTCTAGCGGCTGGAGATGGGAGAGCGCGCTCAAGACCCTTTCCCCTTGATGCTGATGATGCCAACCTTGCGGGTTGCTGAAATTCGTCTACTTAGTAGCTGAGAGGATACACTTTGGGATTTTATTACCCACTAAAACTAAATGAACTCAGCAACTAAGTCTAAGGATTGGGTCGAACTGCTAGCCCTGCACTGCATTCTAGCCACACGGCTGGGCATACGAGAGTCAGTTCGAAACGATTTGCAGCTGATGTTTGCGATGCTCGCCGTGCGGTTTGCTGAATCCATCCAATGAGTCGAATTGCTATCCCTGCTCTGCCTTCAAACGGCCGGAGTCAGTGCAAAGCGATTTCCAGCTGATGCCGGCTGCTACGGCCCTGCGGTTCGCTGAATCCGTCCCAGAGCTGGTTAAACTGGCAACCCAGCTTTGCGCTCCGCGTTCAACCCGACTGCATGCGGGGACTGGACCCCTATGCTGGTTTTTGTTGGGTTTTATGTAGTCGAAGCTAGCACTGATATTCAGAAATCTTGTTTGTCATCGTTTTTCCTGCCATGGCGACTTCAGTATAACCCCTTGATAGCCCCAACCTAAGCTTTGCGAGCTGCCCTCATGCTGCCCAGCTTTTCTCCATACTGAAGGCCAATCGCCGGCTGCAAGGTCTACTCAAGTGCAAGGCCAAAACAACCGTGCGTGTAACTTAAAAGCTTCGCATCTTCGAGGTTCGAACTATTGTCTAACTATTGTTCACGAAATCTCCAAGCCCGTTTCAGGATTCCGTGGGGTCCATGTTCAGCGGAAAAGATCAACATGCTAAGTGGCTTATCGGCTGGAATACACTCTGACATGAAGCCCTTAAGTTGCTGAAAGGCTCAACATCAACCCAAAATCCTTGAACCTCAGAAATCGGACCAACCTCTGAAATAAGATCCTTCAATCTGCTTCTTGTCCAACTGAGGCCTGCTCTTCTGAGGTTCTTCTGGGTAGCCCATGCCTCCTCCTGGAGGCCAAGGGTTAGAAGCTTGGGGGTTGGCGGGCTTTCGTGCTTAGGGCTTGCAGTTCAGTCCGCACCTCAAACATCAAATTTTTAATGTCAGTTTTGGAGTTGTTCTTACACGGCTTGGTTTGCATTCGGGCTGCAGGTTTGGCTTTGGGTTTCCGTTGCAGGTGGGGGGGGGTAGAGGTTGGAGAGGCGGCAGTCATGCCTCCGCCTTAAACGTGTGACAACGCTTTCCAGCAGCGCAGCCTTGCTTGAACAAGCCAGCGACAGGTGCAGACTACTGTTGCCATCATCGTCCCCTGCTCCAACATGTAGAATGTAGAGACATTGTCCTATACATCATCTTGATCGCTCCGAATCCTTTGTTTCAGCTTGTTTGGTGTTTGTAGGTTCAGCGCAGGGTTGGGGGGTGCTCCTGGGGATGAAGGCTTCTTAGGCTTCTTGGTACATGTACATCAAGGTGTCTTGACAAATGTGTGTCTCTACCTTCCTGCCTGTATGCGTACAAATATCACTTTCGATGCAGAAACCGAGCATCTCTTTGGGGCTTGCCGGCTTGCCGCTGCCGAGCATTTTATACTAGTCTGTCGAAGTAGAAATCTCAGCCTGAGTAGCGGGAAAGACCACCGCATCGTAGCCTTCAGGCTATGAAAGGACAGCAATCCCGGAACCCTATAAGTGCATTCCTAGCTCATTATGGAGGTTCAGAAAATCCGGGACCCAACAGGCTCGAACGATGAGGTACGCCAGATTTCATGAAGCAGAAGTTTACATTAAAGTAACCGAGTACGGTTTGCAGTTCCAGGCCGATCTCAACACGTGCAGCCCGGGTCGCAGGGTACGTTCCATTGTGCATGTTCGGGGTTTTGTAAAAGAGAGATAAGGGTTAAGGGTTTGGGCTCTGGGTTTCGGCTTTGGCATGCTCTCTTCGGCCCTTGGGTCTCGGAATTCTGCTGCCGGAGCGGGTGCTGTTGCGCTTGTCTACCAAGCGAAAACCCAATGTACAAGCACTTGGGCAAGCGACAGGTCCAAAAGCGGCCTCAGCGCAACTAAGCAAACAATCATGTGCGGCCACGCCTCTGGTCGATGCCGGATTTGTTAAGATTGTAAACGACCACGAAAAATGGCCATTCCAACTTCCTGTGCACAGCTTGCTGGTGCCATCAAGAGCGGATGTGCTCAACCCGAACTGTTTGAACCTGAAGCAAGACCGGAAACGGGAACCCCAAATCCAATACCCCTACCCTATACACCCTAAACCTGGGGTTTTTATACTAAGGATCCTACTATTTGGGGTATTAGATTCGGGTCCCCCATTTTCGGAAACCCCTACATGTCTCTGAAGAAGCCAAGGCAGTGCAGCCGATCTCTTTGAGGCCCCAGGAAGGCATCTTTCGCTGAAGGAGATCGAGAGCGCAGGCGCCAACTGCGACCGACCGTCCTTTCGGCATCGTTTGGCCTGGGTTTAGGGTTTAGGGGTTTAGGGTTTAGGGGTTTAGGGGTTTAGGGTTTAGGGGTTAGCGGTTGGGGGTTTAGGGGTTTAGGGTTTAGGAGAGAGAGAGGGTTTAGGGATCAAGAGTTTAGGCTTCAGGTTAACTCGGATCACTTCCAGGTTTAGGTATCAGGAAAGGGTTTCAAGGGGTTCGGTTCACGTTTTTCGGGACTGGGATTCCCTTGGCATGCTTTTCGCATGTCTATAGATGTCGCTATACATCGACCCGTCTATGCTGTCTTACTCACACTTCTGTTTCTGCATGTGTTGCCTTTTGTGTCTCTGGTCCAACGATCACACACACACACACCCATGCACAGACGCAAGCACGCACACGCACGCAACACAACCGCCTACCTTGCCTATCTGCCTGCCTACCTGCCCTTCCTACTGAGCTTATAAAGCGGCGGTTGCAAGAGGGCAGACAAAGCTTCCCCTTCGATCGGTCGGGAGATTCAGCAACTAGGATAGGAGTTGCAAAAGTAGAAACCGACTGGTTGCTCCGCGGACACTTTGACGACAGATCTCTGCAGCGCGATTGATACTCTAAGGATTGGAGTTCGTTTTCGCTACAATTTCTACACGGAACAGGAACGGAAGAACCAACAGCTCATGCTGCTGCATGTCCAGGCTTGGTCGGCTGGTTCGACCTCCATTGCTCCCGAGAACATGAGGAGTCGAAAAACACCATCTGCTTCGATAGGTCAGAGCATCCGGGTGTCTGCCAGAGTGCTCACAGGGATGCAGGTTCGGGAGGTTTAGGGTACCACACACTTCGACAGGAGCGATACGAGACTAAAACATTAAGCAACCAGCGACCCTCCAAGCAGGATGTGGTGCTCTCAACTTCACCGTGGGCACCCCAAACTCACTGGGCACAGCCACTTGGGAAAATCTGTAATATTGTTCAAATCCACAGATGTACCATGCAGAAAGTGCCATCTGTTCTGCATCGGTTAGGCCCATCCGACCAAGTGGCACTTGAGCCCACGAGCCTGAAGGTGTTGGATGCCTTTTCGACGCCCCCTGAGCCAGGTTGCCGTCGAGGCACGTACCGTAGCTTCAAGGTTTTAGGGTATCGGAGTTCAAGAGGCCTGGATGCAAAAAAGGGTATCGGCGTTTCAGAAAATCAGACACCTTCACATAGATCCGAGAAAGTAAGATCTGCTAGGGACCCCAAGAGAAGGCCGTTCCCAATTTTATGTTTTGCAACTCTTTGCAAATGAGTTTGTTCGCCAGCGCACACGAGGCATCTTTGGTCTGTTTAAACATGTTTAGACTGCTGCTGGACCAATGGCCCTTTGACATTAAGTTTGAGGCTCTATATCAGATCGTAGAGTGTGAACCGTTTACCCTATACATGAAGTTTGTTTGACTATAGATAAGCCCTCTTAGTGTAAAATTTGGTCCGTATGATTTGGGGCCAAAGCTTAAAGTGGGAAAGCGATCAATGTCCATACTCGCAGATCGATCAGAATCTGGGGTTCGGCTGATCGGTAGAACTTTCGGTGATGGGGAGAAGGTCAAACAGGAACCCTTAAACGGAACCCTTGGTGAATAAGCAACATCCTGTCTTCGTTTGAACCTTAGCCCTCAACCCTAAACCCCTAAACCCTAGACCGTAGCCATTTTTGGCTCAAGTCCGCCGTCAGCTGGCGTGTGTGCCCCTGGAGCGCGGTCGCGCCTTCCGGGCCGCGTCGGGCAGGCTTGAGCTCTCCTCCTCCTCGTAGTCCTGTTCTGAGGCCTCCCGGGTGCATTACTCCACCAGTCCCTCTCGTCGTGTCGTCGTTCGTCGGGATGGCGGGGTCGGACGAAAGTACGCTCCTGTTGCCCCACCTGCACCGTTCCGAACAACTGGAGGGGGGGGGGGGGGGTTGGATGACGCTGGGACGCCAATTAGCTCAGGGGCTCTTCTGGGGGCCGAGCAGCCCGACATGGTTATGCAAGAAGCGGCCCAGGATGCGCTCCGGGCCGCCTTGGGGGATGCCGTGGGTGGGCCGTGTGATCCTGGACCGGGGAGAGGGGTGGGGCTGGCGGAAACTGAAGCCAAGCAGGCTGAAGCAGCAGCGGTGGCCGCTAATCTCCTTGCTAAACACCAAGCCACCCGAGCCCCCAAGTCCTCGCCTAAAACAAGCCCCGAAAAGAAAGCACGACCTCCGACCCTCGATCCCGCTGCCGCCAAAGGACCGCCAGTGGGGCTGCAACCCCCTCCCCTTTTTGGGGGGGGGCCTGTCCCCCCCGACAAGAACAAACGCCCGCTGCCACAGGAGTACGACATTGGTGATGATGTCCCCCCGCCGTGGGCAGCCTCACTTCAGGCGGGCATCGACCGGCTTCATCGAGGACAACACGAGCAGATGCAGGCCATCCAGGTCACTAGAGATTCCATTCAGGGAGTAGCAGATAAGGTGCAGTCTTTGGAGTCGAGGCAGGATTCGCACTTAGAACGAACTGCGGCTCTTGAGCTCCGTTTGGCGGCTATGGAACAGGAGATGAGGGATTTTCGCTCTAGGTCTCCTAGTGTCACCTCAGCATACACTCCGACGCATTCACCTCGTGGGGCTCGTGGGAATCCCGCGCATGATGATTGGCAGGTTGTTTTAGGCGGTTGGAAGGATGCGAAACGCGAGGACATCGAACAAGAAGTGAGAGACTGGTTCACGAGAGCTGAGTGTGGCCCTCTCCTGCAGGCCATGCATTGCAGCTCGGTGCGTTCCAACACGTGTAGGGTCGACTTGCTGTACATGCAGGATGCCATGGCAGAACGACGTAAGGTCCAAGGCATGTGTGTTGAGGCCCTCCGAGCAGTTGCTCAGCCAAGCTCCCTTCCAGGGCAAGGGACGGGGGCACTTTGGGCAAAGCGAAACCGTAGTCCTGAGGAGAGAGCCCGTATTCGAGCCATAGTGTCCCTCAAGGCTCTTGTTGCCAAACATTTGCCCCCCAGGGACTTTGAGTTTGACTGGCGTGGAAGGTTCTGGGCTAATGGGGTCAGTGTGCTTGCCCACGTGGACCAGAAACGTCCGGATGATGGGGCTCTGTTGTTGCTTGATGTACGGGGCCACGAAACGGGATGGTGGGTCCCGGGTCCCCTTCTCGCTCGAACTTTGGGGATTGATCTCAAGGTCTTGCATACACACTTCGAGGTTGAGGCGTCAGGATCCCCCTAGGAGGGTGGCCGGAACAGGAAACGAGGGCGACCCCTCAAACCCGAATTCGTAGCATGTACCTGGAATCTTCATGGTAAAAGTCTCCGTGAGGTTGCTGATCTGTGGCAGGGGACTGTCCCATGCCCTGACTTTCTTTTTGTGCAGGAATTAGGTGCTTGTCCTGGGGCCACTCCTGAGGTTCAGGTCTCGGATTTTTGTTTTGGGTCTGTACCCTACAAGATGTATCACTGCAGCGCGCCCGAAGCACACCTCAACCAGGCTATTCTTGTCAAAACCGAACTGGAATTCCATGCGACACACAAGTCGGGGCTTCCCGTTGGTCTTGTCCTGCATGGTGCATGTCGGAATCACCGAATTCATTTGGCATGTTTGCATTTGCCCCACAGTAAACGGGTCAGCACCGAAGCTAAACCACGATCTTCTGCAGAGGAGGTTTGGAAGGACACCTTGGAGCTACTGGATTCTCAACTGCAGGATACAGGTGGCGAGGCCATGGTCATCGTCGGCGGTGATTTCAACCAGGACCTTCATGCCAGCTCGGACACCTTTTCGGGAATGGGGCTTCTGAGGGCTCTGCTTCAGAAACATAGCCTCTCGTTGCATCGTTCCGTGGGCATCACTTGGACGGCCCGTGGGGCTGCTAGCGAAATCGACGCTGTCCTGGCTCGTGTCCCTAGAAGTCTCACGTATGCTCACAAGCGGGATGACATGCGACTGGCGCTCCCCTCGGACCACTGCCCCGTCTTTCTGAGAATTTGCACCCCGATGCCGCTGCTCCACAGAGGCACACGCCCCACCACCAGGTGTGGCCGGTGGCTGCCCAGCATTCCGGAGCTGGAGAGCTATGCGGCCTCGGACATGGAGTTTGGTCCCTCTCGCATGTCTGAGTTGTGTTTAAAAGCCGAGCGAGTTCCTTCCCTTCGATACCAGGACTCTTCGGACCTTAAGGCCCTTATTGCAACCAGACGTGCCTGCCAGGACCCTCACACGAGAGCGAGCATGTTGTCCGAAATACGGGCACGCCGAACCAACGATCGGCACGAACACCAGTTGAACATTCTGCAGCGAGCCAGGGAAGGGGATAGGCAGGCTATCACGTACCTCCGAAAGAGTGCCGCGCATGCTTCGTTTGAAACCAGCTACATTGAGCAAAGAGGGGGGCAACAAGCGGCCAGCTTGGAACTCCGGCAGTTCTATGACCGCAAATACGCTTCCCTCCTCCCGCCTCCCACCGAGGAGGCGATCCATCGGATGATTGCTACACATTCCTCCGTTAGACCGCAGCCCTTTACTAAGGATGACTTAGGCCTGGCCATCGCCAAATGCAAGCCACGCACAAGCGCTGGCCTGGACGGAGTGTGCTATGAGGCAATCCGGACCTATCATAGATGCGACAAAACGGGCAAGCTTCTCCGCTTCATGAATCGTTTGCTCTTTGGGCAACAGCCTCTTCCCGAGAACTGGTACGAGGCCAAGGTAGTGCTCCTGCCCAAAACGCCCCAACCCTCCAATCCTGCTGACCTGCGCCCGATCTGTCTCTCTCCGTGCTTGTCTAAGATCTTTGGCAGGCTACTGATGGGGAGAGTTGCGCCTAAATGCCCGCCCTACCAAAGTGGGCAAATGGGGTGCAGACGAAAAACTCAGACGGTAGACGGCATCCTCGCGGCGCAGACAGTAATAGGAGTCTTACGCAGAAAGCACCAGGTGGAAGCACATGTGGCCAAGCTAGATATTAGGGCGGCTTTCGACAGTCTTTCCCATTCTTCGATCGTGCACTTCTTCATGCACTGTGAGGTTTGTCCCGAGATCCTCCTGCTATGGCGTCTGTGCTCCCAAAATCGTTTGCTAATGAGTTTGGGAACTGAGACTTGGCGTACCGAGGTCCGCCAAGGGATCATGCAAGGCAGCAGCTATTCAGCTGATCTCTTCGCTCGAGCTATAGATTTCCATTTGCGGGGGCTCCAGGCTCGGTGGAATACCGAGTTTCCCCGCTGGGCGGATGCAATAGAGCTCCCACATTTCCTGCTATATGCTGATGATGTCATGCTTTTTGCGATGGATGCTAGGGAACTTCAGGTCAAACTCAGGGACCTGACGGACACGTTGGCGGCGGTAGGGCTCTTTGTCAACCCTGCCAAGTGCAGCGTGCTTAATATTGAAGGATCGACGCCGGGGGTCTGGCTCCGGGGCTCTTGCACCCCTCTGCAGGGCAAGGACCGCTTGATGTTCCTTGGGGTACCTCTTGCACACACTAATGCCCCCGACATGGTCCTCATGCACCCGCTCAGAAAGATGACAAATTCTTTCTTTGCAATGAAGAAGATCTTGGACAAGCCCTCGACTCCGCACAGGGTTAAGAGTGTTCTCTTTGACTCGTACATCAGCTCGAAATGGCAATGGTGCAGTTCGGTCGTTTGGCCTACGGTGCGCGCGCTGAAGAGCATAGAAGGGCTTAAGAATTCCTTGCTTCTGGGGGTTTTTCGCTTCGGAAGAGATCCTTTCAGCACTTGGTTGGAAAACGTGCAAGGATGTCGTAGAGCACTCAGTGTGTACTGCCAGTGCTTTCGAGGACCGCAGTGGCAGGTGGCCTGGTTGACACGTATTTGGACCTATTTCGGTCACCTTGCCCGGTCCACGGAGGACACGCCCTTACGCCGCATGCTCAGGACCATGGGGAGTCACCGAC